AGCAAACTTGCTGATGTCGCTCTTTATGCCCTCATCTATGTCGTTTATGTAGATTGTGAACAGCAGGGGGCCCAACACTGACCCCTGTGGAACACCGCTCGTGACGCTTCCCCACTCTGATTTCTCCCCATTTATGCAAACTCTCTGCTGCCTATTTGTCAACCATGCCTCTATCCAGGAAAAAATTTCTCCTCCTATTCCATGTGCCTTAATTTTCCTCAAGAGTCTCTGATGTGGGACCCTGTCAAAAGCCTTACTGAAGTCCATATACACAATATATTCATTACCATGATCTACCTCCTCAAATACCTTAGTGAAAAAAGTTAATAAATTCGTAAGGCAGGAACGTCCCTTTGTAAAACCATGCTGAGATATCGTTGATTAATTTATGCTTTTCAAAGGTGGCTACAAACTGCCTCGGCAATTATTGACTCCATAAATTTTCCCACTATGGAGGTTAGGCTTATTGGTCTATAGTTCGAAGCTAAGGACCTGTCACCTGCTTTGAAAATAGGTATCACATTTGCTATTTTCCACTTATCTGGCACCATGCCAGTTTGTAGTGATATGTTGAAAAGATTAGCCAAAGGTTTGCTAAGCTCCTCTTTACATTCCTTTAGAACCCTTGCATACAGTTCATCAGGGCCTGGGGATTTGTTAGGTTTTAATTTATCTATTTGCCTAAGGACCATGTCACTTGTAACCCTAATCGTGCACAGTTTATTATCGTCCTGTTCTACATAATTTATCATTTCTGGAATATCGCTGGTATCCTCCTGTGTAAAAACTGAGAGGAAGTATGTGTTAAAAATTCTACACATTTCCTTATCACTGTCAGTGAGCTGACCCCAGGAACTTTTGAGTGGGCCTATCTTGTCCCTGATCTTACTTCTGTATACCTGAAAGAATCCTTTTGGGTTAGTCTTATCGTCCTGTTCTACATAATTTATTATTTCTGGAATATCGCTAGTATTTTCCTCTGTAAAAACTGAGAGTAACTTTTGAGTGGGCCTATCTTGTCCCTGATCTTACTTCTGTATACCTGAAAGAATCCTTTTGGGTTAGTCTTCGATTCTCTTGCAACTTTAACCTCATAATCTCTTTTTGCTTTTCTAATTCCCTTTTTTATTTCTCTCTTTAACTGAATATATTGATTTCTTAATTGCCCCTTTTCTCTTTTGATTTGCCTATACTGTATATGCCTCTCTTTTGACCAATCAGATATTTTAATCTATTGTTCATCCATTTAGGATCATTTTTGTTTGATCTGATTTCCCTATTTGGAACATAATTTGACTGAGCAGCTAGAACTATGCCCTGGAAAGCGTCATATCGGCAACCATCACCACCTACCTGACCCTTAGTCAGGTCATTCCAGTTCAGCCCACCTAAGTAATTTTTCAGTCCTATGAAATCAGCCAAGCGAAAGTCAGGGACGGAGACTTGATTGCCATTATTAGGGGAATTCCACGATATATTAAATCTGAGTGATTTGTGATCACTTTCCCCAAGCTCATCATTAACCTCAAGATTATTAATTAGTGTTTCCCTACTGGCAAGAACCAAGTCAAGGAGGTTATTTCCCCTAGTTGGCTCTGTCACAAACTGTTTTAAAAAAACAATCCTGGATCGTATCAAGAAAGTCACCTGACTCTAAATTTCCTGTCAAATTGCTCCAGTCAATCTGTCTATAGTTGAAATCTCCCATTAGCACAACATTTTCGTATGTAGATGCCTTATGAATTTCGTCCCATAGAAGTTTACTGCACTCCCTATCAAGATTTGGGGCCCTGTAAATCACACCCAAAATTAGTTTTTTCTCGGCCCTCGAGAAGCTGTAACCAAACAGATTCAGTGGCCGACGCTTCTAATTTTATATCTTGTCTAACACAACAATTTAAATTGTCTCTGACATACATCGCTACTCCACCACCCTTCCTGTTGACCCTGTCAGTGTGGAATAATTTATAGCCTTGTATGTGACATTCAGAAAACATCTCTCTATCTTTCAGATTGAGCCAGGTCTCTGTTATAGCAATAATATCTATGTTTCCTGCACTTGCAATTAATCCTAGCTCATCTATCTTATTTCTTACACTCCTGCTATTAGTATAGTAAACCTTAAGGGAGCTAGTCATTTGCTGCCCTCTGCTGTCCCCCTTTGTTTGCTGACCTGATCTATTGTCTTTATTTATAACTTCATGCTGAATGCCTTTTATACATTTACTGTGTCCAACCCTAGTGTTGCAACCTGACTGTTTCCCACACACAACCATACCTCTATCTTCTATCAGTTTAAAATCACAGGCATTTCACCAATGGGCTTCTCAATTAAGTTTGCAAGTGCTACCACCCCAGCCCCAGAGAGATGTACCCCATCCCTTGCATACATATCATGTTTGCCATAAAAGTTGTTCCAGTTGTCAATGAATGGGATTGCAAGTTCCTTGCAGTATCTGTCTAGCCAGCAATTTACACCAATTGCCCTAGACAACCATTCATTTCCTACACAAATAACCCGCACATAAAAGAGAGAAGCTTACGACGACGTTTAGGTCCGACTTGGACCATTGACAAAGTCGGACCGAAACGTCGTCGTAAGATTCTCTCTTTTATGTGCGGGTTATTTGTGTATAGTTCCAGTCACGGTATTGTGCCTTTTTTGTTATTTATTTCCTACTCCCCTTCTAGGCAAGATGCTACATATAACTGGGACCCCTCCCTTAGTCTTAATATAATCTATAGTTGACCTGTACTTACCTAGCAGCTCTTCTCTCCTACCCTTCCCAATATGATATTATCCAGCCTGTTAATATTATCCAGCCTGTTAATATTATCCAGCCTGTTAATATTACCCAGCCTGTTATTACCCAGCCTGTTAATATTACCCAGCCTGTTAATATTACCCAGCCTGTTAATATTATCCAGCCTGTTAATATTATCCAGCCTGTTAATATTACCCAGCCTGTTAATATTACCCAGCCTGTTAATATTACCCAGCCTGTTAATATTACCCAGCCTGTTAATATTACCCAGCCTGTTAATATTATCCAGCCTGTTAATATTATCCAGCCTGTTAATATTATCCAGCCTGTTAATATTACCCAGCCTGTTAATATTACCCAGCCTGTTAATATTACCCAGCCTGTTAATATTATCCAGCCTGTTAATATTATCCAGCCTGTTAATATTATCCAGCCTGTTAATATTACCCAGCCTGTTAATATTACCCAGCCTGTTAATATTACCCAGCCTGTTAATATTATCCAGCCTGTTAATATTACCCAGCCTGTTAATATTACCGCACCTGTTAATATTATCCAGCCTGTTAATATTATCCAGCCTGTTAATATTACCCAGCCTGTTAATATTATCCAGCCTGTTAATATTATCCAGCCTGTTAATATTATCCAGCCTGTTAATATTATCCAGCCTGTTAATATTACCCAGCCTGTTAATATTATCCAGCCTGTTAATATTATCCAGCCTGTTAATATTACCCAGCCTGTTAATATTATCCAGCCTGTTAATATTACCCAGCCTGTTAATATTATCTCTCTCATCTTATTATTCCTATTACAAAAACCACGGTCAATATATCTTACGTGTCACAATGTATATACTGCAGTATATACCAGGTATACCAGGTATATACGGAGGGATGATAGGCTGTTGCTACAGTATACACCAGGTATACCCTGGTATACCCTAGTATACCAGGTATACCCTGGTATACACGAAGGGATGACAGGTTGTAGCTGCAGTATACACCAGGTATACCCTGGTATACCCTGGTATACCAGGTATACCCTAGTATACCAGGTATACCCTAGTATACCCTAGTATACCAGGTATACCCTAGTATACCAGGTATACCCTGGTATACACGAAGGGACGATAGGTTGTAGCTGCAGTATACACCAGGTATACCCTGGTATACCCTAGTATACCAGGTATACCCTGGTATACACGAAGGGATGACAGGTTGTAGCTGCATTATACACCAGGTATACCCTGGTATACCCTAGTATACCAGGTATACCCTGGTATACACGAAGGGATGACAGGTTGTAGCTGCAGTATACACCAGGTATACCTGGTATACCCTAGTATACCCAGGTATAACCTGGTATACCTGGTACACACGGAGGGATGACAGGTTGTAGCTGCAGTATACACCAGGTATACCCTGGTATACCCTAGTATACCCAGGTATACCCTAGTATACCCAGGTATACCCTAGTATACCCAGGTATACCTCGTATACCCAGGTATACCCTAGTATACCCAGGTACACCCTGGTATACACGGAGGGATGACAGGTTGTAGCTGCAGTATACACCAGGTATACCCTGGTATACCCAGGTATACCCTAGTATACCCAGGTATACCCTAGTATACCCAGGTATACCCTGGTATACCTGGTATACCCGGAGGGATGACAGGTTGTAGCTGCAGTATACACCAGGTATACCCTGGTATACCCTAGTATACCAGGTATACCCTAGTATACCCAGGTATACCCTGGTATACCTGATATACCCGGAGGGATGACAGGTTGTAGCTGCAGTATACACCAGGTATACCCTAGTATACCCAGGTATACCCTGGTATACCAGGTCTACCCAGGTATACCCTGGTATACCAGGTCTACCCAGGTATACCCTGGTATACCAGGTCTACCCTGGTATAACAGGTATACCCTGGTATACCAGGTATACCCAGGTATACCAGGTATACCCTGGTATACCCAGGTATACCAGGTATACCCTGGTATACCCTGGTATACCCAGGTATACCCAGGTATACCCTGGTATACCTGGTATACCCGGAGGGATGACAGGTTGTAGCTGCAGTATACACCAGGTATACCCTAGTATACCCTGGTATACCAGGTCTACCCAGGTATACCCAGGTATACCAGGTATACCCAGGTATACCCAGGTATACCCTGGTATACCCGGAGGGATAACAGGTTGTAGCAGACGATGTTAACTCACAGTTGTCAGTAGTAATATAGAACTAGCTCCCCCGCCTTGGATCAAGACCAGCCATGCTTGAGGGTTGCAGCAGTACCCAGCAGGTATACCAGACACGGTATATACCCCCCCAGGAGGGGGATACACACCAAGGTATATACGAGGCGACACTTACCATGCGCGCCGCCATTACTCTTATTTAATATTATTATTATATTTATTCTCACTTTTCTTTGTGTTTTAGTAAAGAAAATGTCATGGAAAAATATTTTGATGGTTTATTGTTTTCTTTGTGGGATATAATTGAGGTTTAAGACCAGAAAATTATTATTTTTGATGTAATTTTGCGGTGGGTTAAAAAATATTTATCTGTATTTTGATGTTATATTTATGTTAAGTTAATTTTTTTCTGGCATTGTTATAATATAACACAAAATTTAATGAGTATTTTTGATATATAATGTTTGATTTGCTAACCAAAAAATTATTTATCCAAAATTAAACCAAAATACTTAAAATAATAATTGTTATTAACATTATAACAAGAATAACATTATTATTTAACATATATTAATTTCTATCATAAATATTTAACATTATTTTAACTTTTCTTTCGATTTGGTTAATTTCGAGAGTAAAAAAAAAAAAAAAATTTTGAATTTAAAACAAAAAAAAACTGAGAGTACATATAAAATATAAATTTGTTAATTAATATATAACTTTCATTATTAACAAAAACTATTTAAAACATCAAAATATAAATAATAAATTAGAACCAAAATTATTGTTGTTGTTGTTGAGCGGCGGCGGCGGCGGCGGCGGCGGCGGCGGCGGCTCCTTTATTATTATTATTAATTATTATTATTATTATTAATTATTATTATTATAATTGTTGTGAAGATGAACAAGAGGAAAGTTAATGCTGTTATTGACTCTGAGAGTGAAGATGGAAGTGCTACTGATATTGACTCTGTGAGTACCACTGATACCACAGGTACCACTGGTACCACTGGTACTACCACTGTACCACTGGTACTGTGGTACTACCACTGTTATTGACTCTGAGAGTGAAGATGGAAGTGCTACTGATATTGACTCTGTGAGTACCACTGTTAGTACCACTGATACCACAGGTACCACAGGTACCACTGGTACTACCACTGTACCACTGGTACCTGTGGTACTACCACTGTTATTGACTCTGAGAGTGAAGATGGAAGTGCTACTGATATTGACTCTGTGAGTACCACTGTTAGTACCACTGATACCACTGTTAGTACCACTGATACCACTGTTAGTACCACTGATACCACAGGTACCACAGGTACTACTGGTACTACCACTGTCCCACTGGTACCTGTGGTATACCCACGTTATTGACTCTGAGAGTAAAGGGATGGAAGTGTACTGATATTGACTCTGTGAGTACCACTGTTAGTACCACTGATACCACTGTTAGTACCACTGGTACTACCACTGTACCACTGGTACTACCACTGTACCACTGGTACCTGTGGTACTACCACTGTTATTGACTCTGAGAGTGAAAATGGAAGTGCTACTGATATTGACTCTGTGAGTACCACTGGTACTACTGGTACTACCACTGTACCACTGGTACCTGTGGTACTACCACTGTTATTGACTCTGAGAGTGAAGATGGAAGTGCTACTGATATTGACTCTGTGAGTACCACTGTTAGTACCACTGATACCACTGTTAGTACCACTGGTACTACCACTGTACCACTGGTACTACCACTGTACCACTGGTACCTGTGGTACTACCACTGTTATTGACTCTGAGAGTGAAAATGGAAGTGCTACTGATATTGACTCTGTGAGTACCACTGGTACTACTGGTACTACCACTGTACCACTGGTACCTGTGGTACTACCACTGTTATTGACTCTGAGAGTGAAGATGGAAGTGCTACTGATATTGACTCTGTGAGTACCACTGTTAGTACCACTGGTACCACAGGTACCACTGGTACTACTGGTACTACCACTGTACCACTGGTACCTGTGGTACTACCACTGTTTTTTGACTTGAGGTGAAGATGGAAGTGCTACTGATATTGACTCTGTGAGTACCACTGTTAGTACCACTGATACCACTGTTAGTACCACTGGTACCACAGGTACCACTGGTACTATGGTACTACCACTGTCCCAAATGGTACCTGTGGTATACCACTGTTATTGACTCTGAGAGTGAAGATGGAAGTGCTACTGTATTGACTTGTGAGTCCCACTGTTAGTACCACTGGTCCACAGGTACCACTGGTATCCCACTGTACCACTGGTACCTGTGGTACTACCACTGTTATTGACTCTGAGAGTGAAGATGGAAGTGCTACTGATATTGACTCTGTGAGTACCACTGTTAGTACCACTGGTACCACAGGTACCACTGGTACTACCACTGTACCACTGGTACCTGTGGTACTACCACTGTTATTGACTCTGAGAGTGAAGATGGAAGTGCTACTGATATTGACTCTGTGAGTACCTGTTAGTCCCACTGGTACCACAGGTACCACTGGTACTACCACTGTACCACTGGTACCTGTGGTACTACAACTGTTATTGACTCTGAGAGTGAAGATGGAAGTGCTACTGATATTGACTCTGTGAGTACCACTGGTACTACTGGTACTACCACTGTACCACTGGTACCTGTGGTACTACCACTGTTATTGCTCTGAGAGTGAAGAGGGAAAGTGTACTGATATTGACTCTGTGAGTACCACTGTTAGTACCACTGGTACCACAGGTACCACTGGTACTACTGGTACTACCACTGTACCACTGGTACCTGTGGTACTACCACTGTTATTGACTCTGAGAGTGAAGATGGAAGTGCTACTGATATTGACTTTTGTGATTTACCATGTTAGTACCACTGGTACCACAGGTACCACTGGTACTACTGGTACTACCACTGTACCACTGGTACCTGTGGTACTACCACTGTTATTGACTCTGAGAGTAAAGATGGAAGTGCTACTGATATTGACTCTGTGAGTACCACTGTTAGTACCATTTGATCCCACTGTTAGTACCATGGTCCCACTGGTATACCACTGTACCACTGGTCCCTTTGTGGTACTACCACTGTTATTGACTCTGAGAGTGAAGATGGAAGTGCTACTGATATTGACTCTGTGAGTACCACTGTTAGTACCACTGATACCACTGTTAGTACCACTGATACCACAGGTACCACTGGTACTACTGGTACTACCACTGTACCACTGGTACCTGTGGTACTACCACTGTTATTGACTCTGAGAGTGAAGATGGAAGTGCTACTGATATTGACTCTGTGAGTACCACTGTTAGTACCACTGATACCACTGTTAGTACCACTGGTACCACTGTTAGTACCACTGGTACCACAGGTACCACTGGTACTACTGGTACTACCACTGTACCACTGGTACCTGTGGTACTCCACTGTTTTTGGGATCTGAGAGTGAAGATGAAGTGCTATGATTTTGGGACTCTGTGGTACCACTGATACCACTGTTAGTACCACTGATACCACTGTTAGTACCACTGGTACCACTGGTACTACCACTGTACCACTGGTACCTGTGGTACTACCACTGTTATTGACTCTGAGAGTGAAGATGGAAAGTGCTATGATATTGACTCTGTGAGTCCCACTGATACCACTGTTGTACCACTGATACCACTGTTAGTACCACTGGTACTACCACTGTACCACTGGTACCTGTGGTACTACCACTGTTATTGACTCTGAGAGTGAAGATGGAAGTGCTACTGATATTGACTCTGTGAGTACCACTGTTAGTACCACTGATACCACTGTTAGTACCACTGATACCACAGGTACCACTGGTACTACTGGTACTCCCACTGTACCATGGTCCCTGTGGTATTTACACTGTTATTGACTCTGAGAGTGAAGATGGAAGTGCTACTGATATTGACTCTGTGAGTACCACTGATACCACTGTTAGTACCACTGATACCACAGGTACCACTGGTACCACTGGTACTACCACTGTACCACTGGTACCTGTGGTACTACCACTGTTATTGACTCTGAGAGTGAAGATGGAAGTGCTACTGATATTGACTCTGTGAGTACCACTGGTACCACAGGTACCACTGGTACTACTGGTACTACCACTGTACCACTGGTACCTGTGGTACTACCACTGTTATTGACTCTGAGAGTGAAGATGGAAGTGCTACTGATATTGACTCTGTGAGTACCACTGTTAGTACCACTGATACCACAGGTACCACTGGTACTACTGGTACTACCACTGTACCACTGGTACCTGTGGTACTACCACTGTTATTGACTCTGAGAGTGAAGATGGAAGTGCTACTGATATTGACTCTGTGAGTACCACTGTTAGTACCAGTTTTTACCACTGTTAGTCCCACGGATACCACTGTTAGTACCACTGGTACCACAGGTACCATGGTATACTGGGCCCCCCCCTTCCCACTGTACCACTGGTACCTGTGGTATACCACTGTTTTTGACTCTGAGAGTGAAGATGGAAGTGTACTGATATTGACTCTGTGAGTACCACTGTTAGTACCACTGTTTACCATGTTGTACCACTGATACCACAGGTACCACTGGTACCACTGGTACTACCACTGTACATGGTACTGGGGTTTACTACCACTGTTATTGACTCTGAAAATGAAGATGGAAGTGCTACTGATATTGACTCTGTGAGTACATGTTAGTCCCCACTGGTACCACAGGTACCACTGGTACCACAGGTACCACTGGTACCACAGGTACCACTGGTACTACTGGTACTACCACTGTACCACTGGTACCTGTGGTACTACCACTGTTATGACTTTTGAGGTAAAGATGGAGTGCTACTGATATTGACTCTGTGAGTACCACTGTTAGTACCACTGTTTACCACAGGTACCATGGTACTACTGGTACTACCACTGTACCACTGGTACCTGGGGTTTACTACCACTGTTATTGACTCTGAGAGTGAAGATGGAAGTGCTACTGATATTGACTCTGTGAGTACCACTGTTAGTACCACTGATACCACTGTTAGTACCACTGATACCACCGTTAGTACCACTGGTACCACAGGTACCACTGGTACCACTGGTACTACCACTGTACCACTGGTACCTGTGGTCTACCACTGTTATTGACTCTGAGAGTGAAGAGGGAAAGTGCTATGATATTGACTCTGTGGTACCACTGTTAGTACCACTGATACCACTGTTAGTACCACTGATACCACAGGTACCACAGGTACCACTGGTACTACCACTGTACCACTGGTACCTGTGGTACTACCACTGTTATTGACTCTGAGAGTGAAGATGGAAGTGCTACTGATATTGACTCTGTGAGTACCACTGGTACCACAGGTACCACTGGTACCACTGGTACTACTGGTACTACCACTGTACCACTGGTACCTGTGGTCTACCACTGTTTTTGGGACTCTGAGAGTGAAGATGGAAGTGCTACTGATATTGACTCTGTGAGTACCACTGTTAGTACCATGTTTACCACAGGTACCACTGGTACTACTGGTACTACCACTGTACCACTGGTACCTGTGGTACTACCACTGTTATTGACTCTGAGAGTGAAGATGGAAGTGCTACTGATATTGACTCTGTGAGTACCACTGGTACCACAGGTACCACTGGTACCACTGGTACTACTGGTACTACCACTTTTTACCACTGGTACCTGTGGTACTACCATGTTATTGACTCTGAGAGTGAAGATGGAAGTGCTACTGATATTGACTCTGTGAGTACCACTGTTAGTACCACTGATACCACTGTTAGTACCACTGATACCACAGGTACCACTGATACCACTGTTAGTACCACTGATACCACAGGTACCACTGGTACTACTGGTACTACCACTGTACCACTGGTACCTGTGGTACTACCACTGTTATTGACTCTGAGAGTGAAGATGGAAGTGCTACTGATATTGACTCTGTGAGTACCACTGTTAGTACCACTAATACACTGTTAGTACCATGATACCACAGGTACCACTGGTACTACTGGTACTACCACTGTACCACTGGTACCTGTGGTACTACCACTGTTATTGACTCTGAGAGTGAAGATGGAAGTGCTACTGATATTGACTCTGTGAGTACCACTGATACCACTGTTAGTACCACAGGTACCACTGGTACTACTGGTACTACCACTGTACCACTGGTACCTGTGGTACTACCACTGTTATTGACTCTGAGAGTGAAGATGGAAGTGCTACTGATATTGACTCTGTGAGTACCACTGTTAGTACCACTGGTACCACAGGTACCACTGGTATACGGGTTTACTACCACTGTACCAGGGTCCCTGTGGTTACTACCATTGTTATTGACTCTGAGAGTGAAGATGGAAGTGTACTGATATTGACTCTGTGAGTCCCATGGTATACTGGTATACCACTGTACCACTGGTACCTGTGGTACTACCACTGTTATTGACTCTGAGAGTGAAGATGGAAGTGCTACTGATATTGACTCTGTGAGTACCACTGTTAGTACCACTGGTACCACAGGTACCACTGGTACTACTGGTACTACCACTGATACCACTGGTACCTGTGGTGCCACTGGTACTTCTGGTACCACTGATACCTGTGGTGCCACTGATACCTGTGGTACCACCGATACCTGTGGTACCACTGATCCCTGTGGTGGCCATGATACCTGGGGTTTGCCACTGATCCTGTGGTACCACCGATACCTGGGGTTTACCACTGATTCCTGTGGTTGCCACTGATACCTGGGGTTTTCCCACTGATACCTGTGGTACCACTGATTCCTGTGGTGCCACTGATACCTGTGGTACCACTGATACCTGTGTCACTGATGCCTGTGGTACCACTGATACCTGTGGTGCCACTGATACCTCTGGTACCACTGATACCTGTGGTGCCACTGATACCTGTGGTGCCACTGATACCTGTGGTACCACTGATACCTGTGGTGCCACTGACACCTGTGGTACCACTGATACCTGTGTCACTGATGCCTGTGGTACCAATGATACCTGTGGTGCCACTGATACCTGTGGTACCACTGATACCTGTGTCACTGATACCTGTGGTACCACTGATACCTGTGGTGCCACTGATACCTGTGGCGCCACTGATACCTGTGATACCACTGATACCTGTGGTATTTTACTGTTTCCCCTTGGTACCTGGGGTTTACCATGATACACTGGTACTACTACTGGTATCTCAGGTACCACTGGTGTTACTAGTATCATTGGTGTTACTGGTTCCAATGAGTACCATTGGTACCACCGATTCCACTATCATTGGTATTACTACCACTGGTATCACTAGTACCAGTGATACCACTACCACTGGTATCACTAGTACCACTGATTCCACTACCAGTGGTATTACTACCACTGGTATCACTAATGCCACTGATACCAGTGGTAAGTGGTATCACTGGTACTTCTGATACTGGTATCATTATTACTCTACTACCACTGGTATCATTATTACTCTACTACCACTGGTATCATTATTACTCTACTACCACTGGTATCATTATTACTCTACTCCCATGGTATCATTTTTACTCTATACCATGGTATCATTATTACTCTACTACCACTGGTATCATTATTACTCATCTCTACTACCACTGGTATCATTATTACTCATCTCTACTACCACTGGTATCATTATTACTCTACTACCACTGGTATCATTATTACTCTACTACCACTGGTATCATTATTACTCTACTACCACTGGTATCATTATTACTCATCTCTACTACCACTGGTATCATTATTACTCATCTCTACTACCACTGGTATCATTATTTCTCATCTCTACTACCACTGGTATCATTTTTTACTCATCTTACTACCACTGGTATCATTATTACTCATCTCTACTACCACTGGTATCATTATTACTCATCTCTACTACCACTGGTATCATTATTACTCATCTCTACTACCACTGGTATCATTATTACTCATCTCTACTACCACTGGTATCATTATTACTCATCTCTACTACCACTGGTATCATTATTACTCTACTACCACTGGTATCATTATTACTCATCTCTCCTACCACTGGTATCATTATTACTCATCTCTACTACCACTGGTATCATTATTACTTATCACTACTACCACTGGTATCATTATTACTCATCTCTACTACCACTGTTATCATTATTACTCATCTCTCCTACCACTGGTATCATTATTACTCATCTCTACTACCACTTGTATCATTATTACTCATCTCTACTACCACTGGTATCATTATTACTTATCACTACTACCACTGGTATCATTATTACTCATCTCTACTACCACTGGTATCATTATTACTCATCTCTCCTACCACTGGTATCATTATTACTCATCTCTACTACCACTGGTATCATTATTACTTATCACTACTACCACTGGTATCATTATTACTTATCACTACTACCACTGGTATCATTATTACTTCTCCCCTACCATGGTTATCTTATTACTCGTATCTACTACCACTGGTATCATTATTACTTATCACTACTACCACTGGTATCACTATTACTCATCTCTACTACCACTGGTATCATTATTACTCATCTCTACTACCACTGGTATCATTATTACTCATCTGTACTACCACTGGTATCATTATTACTTGTCTCTACTACGACAGTTACCATAATACAAGACACAAACACTCTACGATATCCGTTGTCACGTCATCACGCAACATTAACCAGACAAACACTATACTTAATACCTACCAATTACTCAAAAGCCACTCAAGAAACTTGTGTATAATTTAAGACTGCTTCGCTCTTTGATCATGAACTTCAAGCTTAAAATTGCTTCAGTTTTATTGTTTTAAATTGTAATGCTTCGTATTGTAAATTGTTTTAACGTTCTTATTTACAGTATAGTGGATGAATGAGCAGAAGTGCCCTCACTTGCCCAGAGACACAGCCAGACTGACTCATGAACACGCGAGTGGCCTGTGGGCAGGCAGATTGACGCATCCCATACGGCCACTAAGCAAAATAACGGCCGATAACCGGAAGCCCAAATACCAGCCGATAACCAAGTTGGCCGATAGGTGGAACGGCCAGTAACCGAGGGGTTATCGGCTGTTCCTCTTATCAACCAACTCGGTATCTGCCATTATTTCGCTTATTGGCCTGCCTGCCAGCCGCTCGCGTGTTCGTGAATCAGTCTGGCTGTGTCTCCGGGTCATGGACCCAGTCAGACCTCAGGTGTGGCTCCTGAACCCAGCCAGACCTCGGGTGTGGCTCCCAGACCCAGTCAGACCTCAGGTGTGGCTCCCAGACCCAGCCAGACCTCAGGTGTGGCTTCCAGACCCAGCCAAACCTCAGGTGTGGCTCCCAGACCCAGTCAGACCTCAGGTTTGGCTCCCAGACCCAGCCAGACCTCAGGTGTAGCTCCCAGATCCAGCCAGACCTCAGGTGCAGCTCCCAGACCCAGCCAGACCTCAGGTGTGGCTCCCAGACCCAGCCAGACCTCAGGTGTGGCTCCCAGACAGAGCCAGACCTCAGGTGTGGCTCCCAGACCCAGCCAGTGTTCTTATGTTGTTATCACTACATTAATGTGGCTAATATTTTCCAGGAGTTACTGGCATTGGCCAAAAAGAAGAAGAAACGATCTGGCAGCGAGTCATCCGGCGGGTCATCCCCCAAACAAAAGTCTGCGCCACAGACTAAGGTTAAGGTTGCCTCCGACTCCGACTCTGAAACCAGCGACTCCGACTCAGACTGGGATGCTCCCAAGGGCAGAAAAAAGAAAATGGTGAGATATGACCTTAACTGTAATAGATATTTATTATGAGTAACATGGTCTATTATAGATGATGTCTTTGATGATGAATTATACGTGCAATATGTAGTAAAAAGGACACAAGTGTCAACTAATAGAGATGTTTGATGTGTTGTAAAGCGTTTTGTCTTCGATAAAGGAGGCTTTTCTCAAGCTTGATAAAATGCTCCTGAGTGCGAAACGTGCCACAATAAATGTCATATTATGTTGCACTTGTGTCTTATACTTTAATGTGTCTTGATGTTAAGGAATTGATAATGTCGTCTTTGGATATTGAATAAATCAGTCTTGATGTTGTTGATTAAATAGGTTCTTGATGTTGTTAATAAATAGAGTGTCTTGATTTGTTGAATTAAATAGAGGATCTTGATGTTGTTGAATAAAAGTGACTTGTGTTGTTGTATAAATAGAGGTGTCTGATGTTAATAATTTAACTAAGTCTAAACAGTGGAATTAAATAGGTGTCTTGAGTTGTTAATTAAATTAGAGGTGTCTTGATGTGTAGAAAAAAATTGATAAGGAAGTGTGGCTCTCTTCCTCTTTCTTGGTATCACCTGAATAACCCCAAAACTGAATTTTTTCCCTGTGCATTTACATTTCCAGTTATATAATTAAATGTTGGATATATCAACCTCTATAAATTGGTAACAAAATCCATTGGTCGGTTAATTCAGAACAGTGAACACAGTAGGTTGCCTTTACTGATATTGTTATATCACTTTAATCCTTAAAGCGGTCCAAAAGATCGACGTTCACCAATCGTAGCTGACAAAGAAATCTACTTTTTTTAACATATTTTAAATGTACAAAAAAAAATGTAGATAAAAGTTTTTTTTTACAGGTTTCAAATGTAAACAAAAAACGCAAGTTTCATTTTTCTTTCCATCCTTCAGATGTTCACAAACGTATATTAGTTTGACCATTTAGAGTTAAATCAGATACTCTCATCCATACACTTGTTATTACCAGCCAACCTGCTCTCCCTATTAACTAGGTTATAATTGGTACTAATTTTGAAAGGGTGAGTGGTAAGCCAGTGGAAGCCTGTCATGACCAGAAGCTGCTGCTGTGGTCATCACGATGACTATGACTCACGTCAGGGGAAACCTCGTCTTGTTCCGACAAACCTAGTACTCTGTCCCCCCTCCCCCCTCCCCCTCCCCCTTCCCCTCCCCTCCCCTCCCCCTCTCCCCCTCCCTCCGCCCTCCCTTTCCCACTATAATTAGTTCATGAAGGAAGAAGAGAAAGTTGAGGAGTATTCCTTGATGCTGCTGCTGAAGGACTGTGCTGCTGGTGGTCTCTCTCGCGCTGCTGCTGACCTGTTGTGCTGCTGGTGGTCTCTCTCGCGCTGCTGCTGACCTGTCTCGTGCTGCTGGTGGTCTCTCTCGCGCTGCTGCTGACCTGTCTCGTGCTGCTGGTGGTCTCTCTCGCGCTGCTGCTGACCTGTCTCGTGCTGCTGGTGGTCTCTCTCGCGCTTAATTACGGACATGAATAATAAATAATCAATTTAAAAATGTCAGTTAAATTCAGTAAGGTTTTAATTAAAATTAATTAAGCAAATAAAAATTTTTCGTGACCAGCTAATTAAATACTGTGATTTACTGATCATTGATAATTATTATATACTTTATAATTATATTTAATTTATAATTATATTATACTTATAAAATTATTATAATTTATAATTATTATTATACTTTTAAATATTATTATACTTTATAATTATTATTATACTTTATAATTATTATTATACTTTATAATTATATTATACTTTATAATTATTATTATACTTTATAATTATTATACTTTATAATTATTATTATACTTTATAATTTATTATTACTTTATAATTATTATTATACTTTATAATTATTATTATACTTTATAATTATTATTATACTTTATAATTATTATTATACTTTATAATTATTATTATACTTTTATAATTATTATTATACTTTTATAATTATTTATTAAATTTTTAATTTTATTATTACTTTATACATTTATTGTTATACTTTATAATTATTATTATACTTTATAATTATTATTATACTTTATAATTATTATTATACTTTATAATTATTTATATTTAATTATTGTTATACTTTATAATTATTATTATACTTTATAATTATTATTATACTTTATAATTACAGTGGACCCCGCATAACGATCACCTCCCAATGCGACCAATTATGTAAGTGTATTTATGTAAGTGCGTTTGTACGTGTATGTTTGGGGGTCTGAAATGGACTAATCTACTTCACAATATTCCTTATGGGAACAAATTCGGTCAGTACTGGCACCTGAACATACTTCTGGAGTGAAAAATATCGTTAACCGGGGGTCCACTGTATTGTTATACTTTATAATTATTGTTACACTTTATAATTATTCCTGTGTAGACCAGTCACACTGAAACACCTGCACCATAATACAGTACACATTTATATAAGGTTTATTTTGTCGTCAGGGTAAAGGTGGCAGCAAGACTAGGAACAAGCGAGCGGTGGTTGCAAGAGACAGTGACTCCGATGAAAGTCGACCAGCGAAGGCTAGCGACTCGGAGACAGAAGAAGGTGAGTCTTTATATTGCTTAACTTCTATCTACTTGATTTAAATTTTCTCATGATTGAGCTTCTGTACAACAAAATTTGTGCTGCTTGACTCACAGTGGGGTTATGTTTCATGAAACCGATGTAAGTAGAAAATACCCAGGACTTGAGTCCTGGAGGTGGGAAGTACAGTGCCTGTACTCTGAAGGATGGGTGGAGGTGGGAAGTACAGTGCCTGTACTCTGAAGGATGGGTGGAGGTGGGAAGTACAGTGCCTGTACTCTGAAGGATGGGTGGAGGTGGGAAGTACAGTGCCTGTACTCTGAAGGATGGGTGGAGGTGGGAAGTACAGTGTCTGTACTCTGAAGGATGGGTGGAGGTGGGAAGTACAGTGCTGTACTCTGAAGGATGGGTGGAGGTGGGAAGTACAGTGCCTGTACTCTGAAGGATGAGTGGAGGTGGGAAGTACAGTGCCTGTACTCTGAAGGATGGGTGGAGGTGGGAAGTACAGTGCCTGTACTCTGAAGGATGGGTGGAGGTGGGAAGTACAGTGCCTGTACTCTGAAGGATGAGTGGAGGTGGGAAGTACAGTGCCTGTACTCTGAAGGATGGGTGGAGGTGGAAGTACAGTGCCTGTACTCTGAAGGATGGTGGAGGTGGGAAGTACAGTGCCTGTACTCTGAAGGATGGGTGGAGGTGGGAAGTACAGTGCCTGTACTCTGAAGGATGGGTGGAGGTGGGAAGTACAGTGCCTGTACTCTGAAGGATGGGTGGAGGTGGGAAGTACAGTGTCTGTACTCTGAAGGATGGGTGGAGGTGGGAAGTACAGTGCCTGTACTCTGAAGGATGGGTGGAGGTGGGAAGTACAGTGTCTGTACTCTGAAGGATGGTGGAGGTGGGAAGTACAGTGTCTGTACTCTGAGGATGGATGGAGGTGGAAGTGATAGTGCTGTATGGTGGAAGTTTGTTTTCGGTCACCCGCCAGTGGGAGACGGCCGCATGATAAAAAAAAAGGACAAATGAGTGAAATGGAAATAACTACGTGCACGAATAAGCAAATAAATATGATGGTTAGAATTAAATACCATTTTGAAAGAAAGATGAATACAAAGAAGTTTTAGAGTTTTATAGGCCCATTGGTAAATTGAAACATGGTAACAAGGAACAGTTGGTAAAGTGAAACATGGTTACAAACAAGGACATTGGGTAAGGTGGAAACATGGTAAACAAGGAACTTGGTAAAGTTGAAACAGGTAACAAGGAAATTGTAAAGTTGAAACATGTAAAACAAGGAAATGGTAGAGTTGGAAAATGGTAAAACAAGGAACATTGGTAAAGTTGAAACATGGTAAAACAAGGAACATTGGTAAAGTTGAAACATGGTAAAACAAGGAACATTGGTAAAGTTGAAACATGGTAAAACAAGGAACATGGTACAGTGAAACCTGGTAATCTAAAAGGAATTGGTGAAGTGGAAACAGTGTTAAACAAGGAACATTGGTAAAGTGGGAAACATGTGTAAACAAGGAACATGGTAAAGTTGAAACATGGTAAAACAAGGACATTGGTAAATTGAAAGCATGGGTAAGAACAGGAACTGGTAAGTTGAAATGTGTAAAAAAGGACATTGTAAAGGTTGAACATGGTAAACAAGGAACATGTAAAGTTTGAACTGGTAAACAAGGAACATTGGTAAAGTTGAAACATGGTAAAACAAGGAACATTGGTAAAGTTGAAACATGGTAAAACAAGGAACATTGGTAAAGTTGAAACATGGTAAAACAAGGATCATGGTAAAGTGCTGAACATGGTAAAGAAGGGACATTGGAAAGTGTGAAACATGGTAAAACAGGAACATTGGTTATGTTAACATGGTAAAACACAAGGAACATGGTAGAGTTGACAGCATGTAAAACAAGGAACATGTACGTTGAAACATGGTAAAACAAGAACATTGGTACAGTTGAAACTGTAAAAACAAGGAAATTGGTAATTGAAACATGTTAAACAAGAACATTATAAGTGTGTAAGTCATACACACTTTGAAACAGGTAAAACAAGGAACATTCATAAGTCGTATAAGTTCATACACACAGTTGAAACATGGTAAAACAAGGAACATTCATAAGTGGTGTAAGTTCATACACACAGTTGAAACATGGTAAAACAAGGAACATTGGTAAAGTTGAAACATGGTAAAACAAGGAACATTCATAAGTGGTGTAAGTTCATACACACAGTTGAAACATGGTAAAACAAGGAACATTCATAAGTGTTAAGTTCATACACACAGTTGAAACATGGTAAAACAAGGAACATTCATAAGTGGTGTAAGTTCATACACACAGTTGAAACATGGTAAAACAAGGAACATTCATAAGTCGTATAAGTTCATACACACAGTTGAAACATGGTAAAACAAGGAACATTCATAAGTCATATAAGTTCATACACACAGTTGAAACATGGTAAAACAAGGAACATTCATAAGTCGTATATAAGTTCATACACACAGTTGAAACATGGTAAAACAAGGAACATTCATAAGTGGTGTAAGTTCATACACACAGTTGAAACATGGTAAAACAAGGAACATTCATAAGTCGTATAAGTTCATACACACAGTTGAAACATGGTAAAACAAGGAACATTCATAAGTCGTATAAGTTCATACACACCACAGAATAATACTTTTTATTCATCTTTGACAGAGTTTCTTACCTGTAATAAATCAATGATTTCTTTTAATGAAAATTATAAATATAGTTGGGACACTGTATGGGCAGTGTTGTTGCAGTTGCTGAGATGCCTAAATATAATACCCTATTTTTGTGTATCTTTGTCTTGAAGACAAACAAGATCTTCAGTGGACAAGTTTAAGTCGTACAGTCATAACTCCACTTCTCAGTACGTATTCTACAATTTAAATGTAGGTTTTCATTTCCAGTAAGAGTGTAGTGTATTATGTTTGTTACTACATTTGTATATACTGTACAGGTGAAGTGTCGGACAGCAACAGCAGTGATTCTGAAGTCGACCTGGACGAAGAGTTTGATGATGGACTTGACGAGAACATGATTGGCGATGAGGAAGACAGGGCGCGCCTGGAACAAATGACCGAGAAAGAGCGCGAACAGGAGATTTACAACAGAATTGAGAAGAGAGAAGTTTTACGCACCCGTTTTGAGATAGAAAAAAAGCTGAAGCTTGCCAAGAAGAAAGAACAGAAAAAGAGAAAAGAAAAAGAAGGTGACAAGCCAAAGGTTAGTCAGAATTTAAGATAATTTAAGGTAATTTAAGATATCAGATGTAACAATTTGCTTCTTTCCTTGTGATATCCCCCACACTGGGCAAGTAGAATCCTTCCTCTGTGTGTCATAACAGGCAACTAAAATGCTGCCACCAATAGGTTAGTAACCCCTTCTCCTGTGTAAATTACTAAATGTCAGAAGAAATGTTTCTTCTTCTATGGGTCACCCTGCCTGGGTGGGAGACAGCCAGTATGTTGAAAAAAGAAGAAAAATCCTCCACACTTCACTTGTGGCAAGACAGTTACCAGATTATAATGTCTTTGAATGGATGATTATCAGAGTGTTTTCTTCTGAGTCTCTCTACCGTCATGTGAGACGGCCAATTTGGGAAGTTTTCAAAAATGATCTTTTGTGCAGCACCAACATTATTCTCTCATATTTAATCTTAACAGCGAGTGATTACACATTAATGTAAGAACGTTTTTGCTCAATTATTATGCAAATTTTTGTGATTAAAGTTCTATATTATAAGTAAAACACATTGAAGCCCGATCACATATTGATATGTACAATGTTGTGATGTGTGAGGAATGTATTACAGTAATTAATGAGAATTATTTAACATTTTGTAATTAATATGACTTCAATAATATAGTGTACAAAGTAGCAGCCACAGGTACTGCAGGTACAAAGTAGCAGCCACAGATACTGCAGGTACAAAGTAGCAGCCACAGGTACTGCAGGTACAAAGTAGCAGCCACAGGTACTGCAGGTACAAAGTAGCAGCCACAGGTACTGCAGGTACAAAGTAGCAGCCACAGGTACTGCAGGTACAAAGTAGCGGCCACAGGTACTGCAGGTACAAAGTAGCAGCCACAGGTACTGCAGGTACAAAGTAGCTTCAGTCTACTGCATAAAATCATCCAGTCAATTATAAAACCCTTTAACAGTAATAAAACCCTTTAATAATAATACCGTATAGTAGCCAATTACTGACGGAATGTCCAGGTAGAATTACGACTACGGTTTAAGGGGTCTTTTTCATATCACCTTTTATTTCATTGTAACTGTTTACATAATACATTTGTTTGAACTTCCATATTAGATTAGTAAGTATTGAAGTGTATCATTTAGTTAGTTCTTTTGTTATTAGTTCTTGTCTGAATTGTTTTTCATGTGGATGTTTTTTATCGATGGATTCAAATTAAAATGTATTCTGTGTCTTATTTTCTTAATTCAGGAGAAAAAACAGCCAGTGTTGACTGACAGGAAGAAAACACTAGAGGAGAGGGCGGGAAGGAACGATAAATTTGCCGCTCTAAAAGCAAAGCGAGAAAATAAAATTCAGAAAGGTAGGCAAAGTTTATGTCTTGGTAATTTGTTTACTAATAAGATTGTCTTAGTTTTATATACATAACTTTTAGCAACCTTCAAGGGTGAAGGATTTGTGTTCCAAGGTAATGGAGCTGCTCTCCTTTTTCTTGGATCAAACATGATTGACTTCCATTCCCCAAATGCTATATGATCCCTTATGTATTTAATATTTCCTATGTTGACTTTAACACTTAAACGGTCCAAACAGATCGACGTTCAAATTCGTAGCTACAAAAGTAGATCTACTTTTTTTTACATATTTTCAAATATAACAAAAAAATGTTTATAAAAGTTTTTTTTACAGGTTTTCAAATGTAAAACAAAAAAGAAGATCTACATTTTTTTACATACTTTCAGATGTTGAAAAAACGTATATATACGTTTGGACCATTTAAAGGTTAATAATACAGTGGACCCCCGGTTAACGATATTTTTTCACTCCAGAAGTATGTTCAGGTGCCAGTACTGACCGAATTTGTTCCCATAAGGAATATTGTGAAGTAGATTAGTTCATTTCAGACCCCCAAACATACACGTACAAACGTACTTACATAAATACACTTACATAATTGGTCGCATTGGGAGGTGATCGTTATGCGGGAGTCCACTGTAATAGTAACAATGTATTATGTTAGGAGTAACAATATTATTTTAGTAAGTAGATCAGCTTTAAAAATAGTTTTCCATTGCATTTATAAATATAGTTAAACCAAATTCACTGATTCTCTTGAAGGGCTCTTGATTCAAGGAGGTAGTGAGTACAGTGCCTGTACTCTGAAGGAGGGGTGGTGATAGCACAGTTCTGGAGGTAGTGAGTACAGTGCCTGTACTCTGTCAGTTTACCTTGGTGAGAGATGGCCAGTGTGCTAAAAAAAAAGCGCTGGATGTGATATAATAGATAGTAAGCTTGCAACTGGTTGTAAGGTGTCACAGCTGATGCAGTGATAATGGCCATGGTTAGCTTTATATGTACAGTGGACCCCCGGTTTACCATCAGCTCCCAGTGCAACCAATTATGTAAGTGTATTTATGTAAGTGCGTTTGTATATGTATGTTTGGGAGTCTGAAATGGACTAATCTAATTCACAATATTCCTTATGGGAACAAATTCAGTCAGTACTGGCACCTGAACATACTTCTGGAATGAAATATCGTAAACCGGGGGTCCACTGTATATGGTAATTAAGGTTAGCTGCAGTGCAAAGAATTTTCAATAGAGAAGCATATCACCGGCACGTCGGACTTGAGTCTTGGAGGTGGGAAGTACAGTGCCTGCACTCTGAAGGAGGGGTGTTAATGTTGCAGTTTTATAGCTGTAGTGTAAATGCACCTCTGGCAAGACAGTGATGGAGTGAATGATGGTGAAAGTTTTTCTTTTTCGGGCCATCCTGCCTTGGTGGAAAACGGCCAATGTGTTAATAAAATAACAATAAAAACAATAGCACATCACACTCGGTTATCGTTTTATAATGAACTGCTACAAATTTTAAGCCATTTGTTACATCATTACCCTTGATAGAGTAAGTGTCTTGATGCTAATTAAGTGTTCTTGATCCCAAGATAAAGTGAGTTTATCTGCCGCCCCTGTCTTGTATTACCCTCGTGTTGTAATGTTTCACTGTACTCGTAATAATGTTACTTTACTAATTATGTCTTCACTGTTTTAGCTGAAGAGGAGAGACAAAAGAAAGAAAAGGAAGCAGAAGAGAAGAGAAGAAAAGAGGAAGAGAAGGAGAGATCGATGGACTCGGACTCTAATAATGAAGGAAAATCTAAGCACAAACTTAAGGTGAAGCTTAATACATTGTTTTAAACACTTTAAATAACGACTCTTAATTAAGTTGCCTAACCAGGTGTTCCTAGACACTGTATAATACATAGTAACTAGCTAGTGAATAATAACACTGATCCTACTAGGTAGTGAATAATAACACTGGACCTACTAGGTAGTGAATAATAACACTGATCCTACTAGGTAGTGAATAATAACACTGGACCTACTAGGTAGGTCCTCAACTTTCTCTACATCCTCCTCTACTTTCTCTACATAAAGAATCATAATTTATTTCTTAATATTTCAGGCATCGGAAGTATTCAGCTCGGACGACAGTGGATCTGAAAGCGATAAATCGACAAAATCTGAAAAATCAACGAAGCGCCGTTCCTCCTCCTCGTCATCGTCTTCCTCTTCCGACAGTGATAGCGATTCTGGCAGGTACGGAATGAGTGATAGTGAAAATGATTTTTTCTTTGTTGAGTCACTCTACCTCAGTGTAGGAGGCCAGAGCATTCCAAAAACAAAGATGGTCTTCAAAGTTGTTGGATTTCTTTGTTGTACTTTATGGTGGAAGAAATATCTGGAGTGATGAAAGGAGGAGGAGGTGCGGGCATATTTGTAGTTCTGAACTGTGGTATTGGCGCCCCTCTGGCAAGACAGTGATGGAGTGAGTAATACCTGGAGTTTACCTGGAGAGAGTTTTGGGGTCAACGCCCCGCGGCTTGGTCTGAGACCAGGCCTTGTGGTGGATCAGGGTCTGATCAACCAGGCTATTACTGCTGGCCGCACACAAATTGACGTATGAACTACAGCCCGGCTGGTCAGGCACTGACTTTAGATGCCTGTCCACTGGTGAGTTTCTTCTTTCTGGGTCACCCTGCCTCAGTGGGGTCACCCTGCCTCAGTGGGGTCACCCTGCCTCAGTGGGGTCACCCTGCCTCAGTGGGGTCACCCTGCCTCAGTGGGGTCACCCTGCCTCAGTGGGGTCACCCTGCCTCAGTGGGGTCACCCTGCCTCAGTGGGGTCACCCTGCCTCAGTGGGAGACAGCCAATGTGTTAAAAAAAATATTTTTAATGTATGAGAAGCCTTTGTATATTGTGTAATTTATCTTAACTATTAAATGCTGTCCAGTATTTAAAATGGAAAAAGGAAAAAAATCAGTTCACAGATGAACATTTTTTTTGTATTTTAAAATACTGAGGATAACATTGATAGAGAATTATGGGTAGTTTGATTTTTTACAAACTTTTGAAAGACTGGAAACAAAGAGCATGATACAGACTCTTCCCTCTACATGTGGCTCTTACATACCCACAACCTTTGTTCAAGTATGTCTTGTAATGTGAAATATACCAGGGAACAGGTGGGGGTTGAACCATGGCAAGTGAGTCCTGAAACTTAATATATCAGGGAACAGGTGGGGGTTGAACCATGGCAAGTGAGTCCTGAAACTTAATATATCAGGAAACAGGTGGGGGTTGAACCATGGCAAGTGAGTCCTGAAACTTAATATATCAGGGAACAGGTGGGGGTTGAACCATGGCAAGTGAGTCCTGAAACTTAATATATCAGGGAACAGGTGGGGGTTGAACCATGGCAAGTGAGTCCTGAAACTTAATATATCAGGGAACAGGTGGGGTTGAACCATGGCAAGTGAGTCCTGAAACTTAATATATCAGGGAACAGGTGGGGGTTGAACCATGGCAAGTGAGTCCTGAAACTTAATATATCAGGGAACAGGTGGGGGTTGAACCATGGCAAGTGAGTCCTGAAACTTAATATATCAGGGAACAGGTGGGGGTTGAACCATAGCAAGTGAGTCCTGAAACTTAATATATCAGGGAACAGGTGGGGGTTGAACCATGGCAAGTGAGTCCTGAAACTCACAGGCCAGTGTGTGTGTTATTACAATTTACAGTTTCATGAATCTGAAACATATCTTCCAGAGACTTTCATTACACCAGTCTGTACGTGCCTGAGAAAAACTCGTTCCTAACGTGTCAAAAACAACAGTCTAATATGCATTTATGAACGAGCTGACATTATTTATACAATTATTACAATATTGCAGTAGTTCTACATAACAGGAAATCTTCTATTTTTTGTGTGTGAATAAAAATTCAAAATGGAAAACAAGTGTAATACAGTGGACCCCCGCATAACGATCAGCTCCCAACGCGACCAATTATGTAAGTGTATTTTTGTAAGTGCTTTTGTAGGTGTATTTTTGGGGGTCTGAAACGGACTAATCTACTTCACAATATCTCTTATGGGAACAAATTCAGTCTGTAACGGCACCCAAACAGACTTTTGGATTGAAATAATATTGTTATGCGGGGTCCACTGTATAGGAGAGGCCTGGGGACATGACTAATTAAGAGAGAAAATGTTGTTTTAGTGCCAGCAATGTCTATATTATTGATTCTGGGGTCTGGCTTCGCAGATAAAGTACTGTGTACTCTGATGCCGAGTTTGCAGGTTCGAGTCCTGCTGTGGACATAGAGATAATGTTTGTTTGTATATATAAATTTGTATGGTTTTGGACACTGATGGTCCAGAACCATACAAATTTACAAGCAGGAATTTGAAATTCCTACAGCATTGTATTTACCAACAAACTGTACGTCACTTATCCAACCAAGAAATATTGCACTCTCTACAGGCAGAAAAGCAGTAATCTGGAAAGGTTTTGGAACCAAAGGTTCCAGAAAATTGATGTTGTACCTGTATATATACACACGCATGCATGCATGCACACATGTGCGCACACACGTGCACACACACACACATGTACACACACACACACACATGTACGCACACACACACACACATGTACGCACACACACACACATGTACGCACACACACATGTATGCGCACACACACATGTACGCACACACACAACATGTATGCACACACACACACACACACACACACACACACACACACACACACACACACACACACACACACAAAACACACACACGCACGCACGCACGCACGCACGCATGCACCGCACACACACACACGCACGCACGCATGCACGCACACACACACACACACACACATGCACGCACACACACACATGCACGCACACACACACATGCACACACACACACACACATGCATGTGCACACACACAGGGTTAGTAACACACTGGTGTTTTCATGGGTTAGTAACACACTGGTGTTATTCTGGGTTAGTAACCCACTGATGTTATCCTGGGTGTAACACACTGGTGTTATCCTGGGTTAGTAACCCACTGGTGTTATCCTGGGTTAGTAACCCACTGGTGTTATCCTGGGTTAATAACACACTGATGTTATCCTGGGTTAATAACACACTGATGTTATCCTGGGTTAATAACACACTGATGTTATCCTGGGTTAATGACACACTGATGTTATCCTGGGTTAATAACCCACTGATGTAATCCTGGGTTAATAACACACTGATGTTATCCTGGGTTAATAACCCACTGATGTTATCCTGGGTTAATGACACACTGATGTTATCCTGGGTTAATAACCCACTGATGTTATCCTGAGTTAATAACACACTGATGTTATCCTGGGTTAATAACACACTGATGTTATCCTGGGTTAATAACACACTGATGTTATCCTAGGTTAATAACACACTGATGTTATCCTGAGTTAATAACCCACTGATGTTATCCTGAGTTAATAACACTGATGTTATCCTGGGTTAATAACACACTGATGTTATCCTGGGGTAATAACACACTGATGTTATCCTGGGGTAATAACACACTGATGTTATCCTGGGTTAATAACACACTGATGTTATCCTGGGTTAATGACACACTGATGTTATCCTGGGTTAATAACACACTGATGTTATCCTGGGTTAATAACACACTGATGTTATCCTGGGTTAATAACACACTGATGTTATCCTGGGTTAATAACACACTGGTACATGTACAACTTCATACAACAACTAGCTAGCTGTATTATACATCATACAACAACTAGCTAGCTGTATTATACATCATACAACAACTAGCTAGCTGTATTATACATCATACAACAACTAGCTAGCTGTATTATACATCATACAACAACTAGTTAGCTGTATTATACATCATACAACAACTAGCTAGCTGTATATACATCATACAACAACTAGCTAGCTGTATTATACATCATACAACAACTAGCTAGCTGTATTATACATCATACAACAACTAGATAGCTGTATTATACATCATACAACAACTAGCTAGCTGTATTATACATCATACAACAACTAGCTAGCTGAAATTATACATCATACAACAACTAGCTACTGTATTATACATTATAACAACAACTAGCTAGCTGTATTATACATCATACAACAACTAGCTAGCTGTATTATACATCATACAACAACTAGCTAGCTGCATTATACATCATTCAACAACTAGCTAGCTGTATTATACATCATACAACAACTAGCTAGCTGTATTATACATTATACAACAACTAGCTAGCTGTATTATACATTATACAACTAGCTAGCTGTATTATACATCATACAACAACTAGCTAGCTGCATTATACATCATACAACAACTAGCTAGCTGCATTATACAACATCATACAACAACTAGCTAGCTGTATTATACATCATACAACAACTAGCTAGCTAGCTGGTGGCTGGCTGATAATTGAACTAGCAATATCACACATACTACTGAGACTTATATTAAGTATTAACCAACTACTAACATGTTAGTCTTAAACCTGTACTGTTGCAATGGCTTCTCAATGTTAATATTCAAATTTATATTTTATTAACCCTTTGACTGTCGCAACCCCCAATCCTGAGGTGTCTCCTGGTGTCGCAAAATATAAAAAAAAATTATTTTTTTCTTATGAAATGGTAGAGAATCTTTTCCCGATTGTACTGACACCAAAAAAACGAAATTTGATGGAAAACTGACGGAATTATGCTCTCGCGAAGTTAGCGACCTCGGCGCTGTTTACAAATCGGCGATTTCGCCCACTTTGAGCCCTATTTTCGGCTAATTCCATTGTCCCAGTCGCCCAAACTCATAGCTATTTCTTTAGAACTCCATTTTTTCTATCGATTGAGTACAAGAAACTGCCCATTTACCGATTTCAACTACCTAATAATGTGGTCAGAAATTTGCAATTTGGCCAATTTTACGAAAACTAAAAAATATGACAATTTCAAAATAAGGTCCAGAATGAACAATGCAGACATTCCTGGCTCTAAAATAACATTTTCTTTGTTCATCAGTCACGTCTCCAGGCCCCTCTGATATTACTCTTGCTTTCTATTTTGAATTTTTATTCAAACAAAAAATAGAAGACTTACTATTATGCAGACTAAATGCAATACTGTAATAATTGTATAAATAACATCAACCCATTCATGACTGCATATTAGAATGGCTAGTTGGACATTTTATTGGACAATGACATCATTTGTTTACTTTTAAACATGGGCAAAAATCAAACATTTCCCGTACTTTGATCTCCATTTCCAGGTTCTTTTTATAGTAAAAAACAATCAAATCACCTCTATTTCTATAATATGTTTTCCATTCTATCAAATGAGACCAAGAAAACGAGAATACAACCATAAATACTATACGAAAATAGACCACAAAGTCGGCATTTTAATTAAAAAAAACGGTCGGAGTTTTTTTTTTCTCATTATGCACTGCATGCTCCAGGATTTTTTTTATATGGTGCACACTGACCACACAGACCCATTCTCTCACATATGTGCCTACCAGCTTTCTCCTGCTTGATTTGAAGCCGCTAGAATTTATGAGTATATATACGTCAAACACGGTACCTCGTAAGACGTATATATACGGCCGCGACAGTCAAAGGGTTAATGTAGCCAGTATAACAACCTGTAGTAACTTGAGTTTTCTTAAGTTATTTCTAGAAGAAATAACGTTGAATACGTGAGATACAGTTGATCAGTGCAACTAAACTGCAGATGTAAGGTAAAAGACACTTGTACGACAAGTGTAACATTGTTGCAGTGTTTGGCTCCCAGAGCTGTGCCAAGATGTTGCAGACAATACAAGTGCACGCAGGATAATAGAGTGAGATGTAGAGGCATAATATTATTGTTGAAGGTAGTAGTAATATAACAACTAGTACTGTTACTACCACTAATACTACTACAACAATAATATTATTCCTCTACATCTCACCCTACTATCCTCTCTATGCTTGTATTGTTTGCAACATCTTGACACAGCTCTGGAAGCCAAACACTGCAACAATAAAATATTGCACCAGTTGCACAAGCATGTTTTACCTAACTTATCGCTGGTAATATTGCCAACATTATTACAAACTTAAAAGGGTTTTGCATAAAGGAATCTTTGTGACTTATTGAATTTTGCTCAATTATTGGTGGTAATACTCAGCCCATGTGGTGAAGAAGCTCCGAAGAGAAGTGTCGGGGCGACAACGTTAAGACGACCCAGCAAGCAACATGATGCCAAGTTGATAAAGAGGGTAGAGCAAAAGATTCTACCTTCTTCTTCCTCTTGCTCTTCTCTCTCTTCCTCTTCATCTTTTAGTGATTCCAGCGACAGTGATATTGCACCTAAGAAGGCTAAACTTGGCAGGTAGTTAGCATAGTAGTGTGTGGTGTGTAACTAAACACTGCTAACATTCAACCAGCAGTAAACTTGGCAGGTAGTTAGCATAGTAGTGTGTGGTGTGTAACTAAACACTGCTAACATTCAACCAGCAGTAAACTTGGCAGGTAGTTATCTTAGTAGTGTGTGGTGTGTAACTAAACACTGCTAACATTCAACCAGCAGTAAACTTGGCAGGTAGTTATCTTAGCAGTGTGTGGTGTGTAACTAAACACTGCTAACATTCAACCAGCAGTGACCACCTTAATTCCACTGACTAATTCCCATTATTTTTAAGAGAATTTGATTAATACCTTAGCTTTGTTTGAGCTCAGTGAAAAAGATCAAACCATAATATTGAATATTATTTTGTGTGTATGTGTGGGAATTTAATGGTAAGTTTAACACATTGTTATAAGCTTTAAGAGGCACCTTATGAATGTGGTCTAAATAATGTCAAGTCTCTATAAGATGGAGTCACATTATACGTTTTGCAAAGTAAATATAAAAACTTTATATTTTTGTGAAAAATATGCATTTGGAATTTTTTTAACAAATTTTATACATTTGTATGTTTAATGCATCTGTTTTAAGTTTTTTTTAAGTTAAACATTAATATCTGTGCATGATAAACCCTGGCAATGTTTACTCTTAAGTTTTTATGAAAAATTTAGAAATTTGACTCTCCAATATTATTCATAAAATACTGCATGAATATCAACATGTTGCCAGGAGCTACTCAGATATTTCTATGGTCATCAGTTCAAAATATTCATGTACATGCTTTTACTTTTAGATTACCCTCTGCATTTCCCATCTTGAATTTTTATAAGTAGTAATATCTCGCAGAATGGATGGGGGTTTGAACCTTTGGCAAATCAGTTTTAAAATCTGCATTGTGATCATAGTGGGTCCCATGCTAACCTTCCTAGAGTATAGAAATAAAACCTCTCCTCACTTAACGATGGAGTTCCGTTCCTAAGATCACATCATTAACCCTTAAACTGTCCAAACGTAGATCTACGTTCGCTCGCGTAGCACTCCGAATGTAGATCTACATTTTTTTACATTCTTTCTTATGAAGAAAATCAAGGTCGAAGCGCTACTCGCCCAAACGTAGATATACGTTTGGACAGTTTAAGGGTTAAACAAGTACATCGCTAAGTCAGGAGAGGCTGTACACCTACAATATGTTAGATGCAACTAATGTGACTTTGTATTGTGGCAATGTTTCACTCTCCAGCTTGACAAAGATCCAGGAGAGTGAACTGCCACATTAGTTGCATTTGTAGCCATTTACCTAACACTTTATGGGTAATTCTACCATTATTACACCTGCAGTAGTTGGGTACATCTTGTTAGGTCTCTTATTGTTGAAGTTATCTAAGACTCTTATTGTTGAAGTTATCTAAGACTCTTATTGTTGAAGTTATCTAAGACTCTTTTTGTTGAAGTATCTAAGATCCCCTTATTGTTGAAGTTATCTAAGACTCTTATTGTTGAAGTTATCTAAGACTCTTATTGTTGAAGTTATCTAAGACTCTTATTGTTGAAGTTGTTGAAGTTATCTAAGACTCATTGTTGAAGTTATCTAAGACTCTTATTGTTGAAGTTATCTAAGACTCTTATTGTTGAAGTTATCTAAGACTCATTGTTGAAGTTATCTAAGACTCTTATTGTTGAAGTTATCTAAGACTCTTATTGTTGAAGTTATCTAAGACTCTTATTGTTGAAGTTATCTAAGACTCTTATTGTTGAAGTTGTTGAAGTTATCTAAGACTCATTGTTGAAGTTATCTAAGACTCTTATTGTTGAAGTTATCTAAGACTCTTATTGTTGAAGTTATCTAAGACTCTTATTGTTGAAGTTGTTGAAGTTATCTAAGACTCATTGTTGAAGTTATCTAAGACCCATTGTTGAAGTTATCTAAGACTCATTGTTGAAGTTATCTAAGACTCTTATTGTTGAAGTTGTTGAAGTTATCTAAGACTCATTGTTGAAGTTATCTAAGACTCATTGTTGAAGTTATCTAAGACTCATTGTTGAAGTTATCTAAGACTCATTGTTGAAGTTATCTAAGACTCATTGTTGAAGTTATCTAAGACTCATTGTTGAAGTTATCTAAGACTCATTGTTGAAGTTATCTAAGACTCATTGTTGAAGTTATCTAAGACTGTTTGTGAGTCACATTGTCAGACAAGCCAGCAGTCATGTAAGGTTCACAACCACCTTGGGCTCCCAACATTGTCAGACAAGCCAGCAGTCATGTAAGGTTCACCTTGCTCACAACCACCTTGGGTTCTCAACATTGTCAGACAAGCCAGCAGTCATGTAAGGTTCACCTTGCTCACAACCACCTTGGCTCCCAACATTGTCAACAAGCCAGCAGTCATGTAAGGTTCACCTTGCTCCCCAACCACCTTGGGCTCCCAACATTGTCAGACAACCCAGCAGTCATAAAAGGGTTTTCACCTTGCTCACAACCACCTTGGGTCTCAACATTGTCAGACAAGCCAGCAGTCATGTAAGGTTCACCTTGCTCACAACCACCTTGGGCTCCCAACATTGTCAGACAAGCCAGCAGTCATGTAAGGTTCACCTTGCTCACAACCACCTTGGGCTCTCAACATTGTCAGACAAGCCAGCAGTCATGTAAGGTTCACAACCACCTTGGGTTCTCAACATTGTCAGACAAGCCAGCAGTCATGTAAGGTTCACAACCACCTTGGGTTCTCAACATTGTCAGACAAGCCAGCATCATGAAAGGGTCACAACCACCTTGGGTTCTCAACATTGTCAGACAAGCCGCAGTCATGTAAGTTCCCACAACCACCCTTGGGCTCTCAACTTTGTCAGACAAGCCAGCAGTCATGTAAGGTTCACCTTGCTCACAACCACCTTGGGCTCCCAACATTGTCAGACAAGCCAGCAGTCATGTAAGGTTCACCTTGCTCACAACCACCTTGGGCTCCCAACATTGTCAGACAAGCCAGCAGTCATGTAAGGTTCACCTTGCTCACAACCACCTTGGGTTCTCAACATTGTCAGACAAGCCAGCAGTCATGTAAGGTTCACCTTGCTCACAACCACCTTGGGTTCTCAACATTGTCAGACAAGCCAGCAGTCATGTAAGGTTCACAACCACCTTGGGCTCTCAACATTGTCAGACAAGCCAGCAGTCATGTAAGGTTCACCTTGCTCACACCCACCTTGGGCTCTCAACATTGTCAGACAAGCCAGCAGTCATGTAAGGTTCACCTTGCTCACAACCACCTTGGGCTCCCAACATTGTCAGACAAGCCAGCAGTCATGTAAGGTTCACCTTGCTCACAACCACCTTGGGTTCTCAACATTGTCAGACAAGCCAGCAGTCATGTAAGGTTCACAACCACCTTGGGCTTCCAACTCACTGTTTAGTTGTTAATTAGACTGCAAATCATTTAACGATTAGCACACTCAGGGTCTCCATGGATGCCACAACTTACTGTTTCTCAGCCAAGTTGTTACTTGAGCCACCAGTCATTCAGGTATCACCTTGCCCATAGCCACCATCTTGTTCAAAGCAGCAAAAATAATAAACGTTCAGGTTCTACAGCTGTGTTGAGATGCATGCGTTGTGTTTTTAATTGTAAAACTAATGGTTTGTTTGAAATAGATTTTGTTAGTATCACTTGAGGGAGCAAGGGACTAGTAACACCTGTACCAATTTATAAATGTAAAAGGAAAAAAACTTTCATTTGTTTTTCTGGTCACTCTGCCTTGGTGGAAGATGGCCACTGTATTACCCCTTAAACTGTCCAAACGTAGATCTATGTTCACTTGCGTAGTGCTCTGAATGTAGATCTACGTTTTATTTTACATGCTTTCAAATGTAAAAAAAAAAAACGTAGATCTATGTTCGGAGCTCTACGCAAGTGAATGTAGATCTACGTATGGACAGTTTAAGGGTTTAAGAACCAATCTGAGTTGAGAAGTTATGTACAGGTACAGTTTTGTTGACAAATGCCTCAGGAAATTTTGCCATCATGATACTGATGCTATAAAAACTCTTACACTTGTTATGTGAAAGTTTCTTGTGTCTACAGATCCAAAGACAGTTATCGCTCGAGGGATGAGAAGCCCAAGCACGTATCCACTAAAGAAGATCTTGAAAAAATTCGTCTCTCTCGTCACAAAATGGAGCGTTTTGTCCACCTACCAATTTTCTCCAAGGCTATTATTGGTTGTTTTGTTAAAATAGGTATTGGCAATCACCAAGGCTTGCCAGTTTATAGGGTGAGTGAATATCACTTTGATTACTGCAGTCTATCTTACCTAAATTGTATATTTAATTTTATTAACAGTAGTATATACAGGAGGGCCCTGCATTATTGGCAGTCACTTTTTGTTCCACATTTGTGGTGGTTTACAGTTGAGCCATTGTTCATTATATTTGGTGATTTTTATGCTTTTCTGGCATTTTTGAACAACAGTTGTGTAAGGGAAGAGTAACCACCACAATATTTTAACGTGAATATTGTATGTACTGTTTATTTTACTTCTGTATTTTTTTTTATTCTTAGCTGTATTAAGCACTAAATATGTGATAGTGTAAACATGTTATCAGGTATTTTAGACACATTTGATAATAAAACAACTGCTCTTTTCCACTCGTGGGTGATTTTCGGGAACCTACCAGCCGTAGAAACTTGCCCTCCTGTATATTGTACCACTCATTTTGTGATGCAGCTTATCTCTGAACATAATAATCCAAAACAATGGTCATCCCTATGTTGTTTTACTTTCATAGTCTTGGTTCAGTTTTTCTGCTTCTAATTGACTTTTCTGATGATAATTGGAAAATAGTTTTTCCACTGAGTCGAGCACTTGTTTATGAACTCAATTATTATTGCAGTAGTTGGTTCACCTGTGAGGTCCGGCTTCCCACTCCTCAACTTGTATAACATATGCAAAGTAAAAAATTTTGAAGATTGGAAAGTCATAATAATGTGTACTGGAACAATGAACAAATAATAACTCACACTTCACTTATCAAACTCACACTTCACTTATCAAACTCACACTTCACTTATCAAACTCACACTTCACTTATCAAACTCACACTTACCATCATGAGTTTCAGTGTCCTAAATGCATGTTATCTGTATAAATCACTTTTGTTGGGTCAGTATGCATCAAATACATAGACTGAACATCTTCTTCTTTCTTCCAACACACCGGCCGTATCCCACCGAGGCGGGGTGGCCCACCGAGGCGGGGTGGACCACCGAGGCGGGGCGGCCCAAAAGGAAAAACAAAAGTTTCTCCTTTTACATTTAGTAATATATACAGGAGAAGGGGTTACTAGCCCCTTGCTCCCAGCATTTTAGTCGCCTCTTACGACACGCATGGCTTATGGAGGAACAATTCTGTTCCACTTCCCCATGGAGGTAAGAGGAAATAGACAAGAACAAGAACTAGAAAGAGAATAGAAGAAAACCCAGAGGGGTGTGTATATATATATGCTTGTACATGTATGTGTAGTGTGATCTAAGTGTAAGTAGAAGTAGCAAGACGTACCTGAAATATTGCATGTGTATGAGACAGAAAAAAAAGACACCAGCAATCCTACCATCATGTAAAACAATTACAGGCTTTCATTTTACACTCACTTGGCAGGACGGTAGTACCTCCCTGGGCGGTTGCTGTCTACCAACCTACTACCACAGGATGGTAGTACCTCCCTGGGCAGTTACTGTCTACCAACCTACTACCATAGGATGGTAGTACCTCCCTGGGTGGTTACTGTCTACCAACCTACTACCACAAGACGGTAGTACCTCCCTGGGTGGTTGTTGTCTACCAACCTACTACCACAGGATGGTAGTACCTCCCAGGGTGGTTGTTGTCTACCAACCTACTACCACAGGATGGTAGTACCTCCCTGGGTGGTTGCTGTCTACCAACCTACTACCACAGGATGGTAGTACCTCCCTGGGCAGTTACTGTATACCAACCTACTACCACAGGACGGTAGTACCTCCCTGGGTGGTTGTTGTCTACCAACCTACTACCACAGGATGGTAGTACCTCCCTGGGTGGTTGTTGTCTACCAACCTACTACCACAGGACGGTAGTACCTCCCTGGGTGGTTGTTGTCTACCAACCTACTACCACAGGATGGTAGTACCTCCCTGGGTGGTTGCTGTCTACCAACCTACTACCACAGGATGGTAGTACCTCCCTGGGTGGTTGCTCTCTACCAACCTACTACCACAGGATGGTAGTACCTCCCTGGGTGGTTGCTGTCTACCAACCTACTACCACAGGACGGTAGTACCTCCCTGGGTGGTTGCTCTCTACCAACCTACTACCACAGGATGGTAGTACCTCCCTGGGTGGTTGCTGTCTACCAACCTACTACCACAGGATGGTAGTACCTCGCTGGGTGGTTGTTGTCTACCAACCTACTACCACAGGACGGTAGTACCTCGCTGGGTGGTTGTTGTCTACCAACCTACTACCACAGGATGGTAGTACCTCCCTGGGTGGTTGTTGTCTACCAACCTACTACCACAGGATGGTAGTACCTCCCTGGGTGGTTGTTGTCTACCAACCTACTACCACAGGATGGTAGTACCTCCCTGGGTGGTTGTTGTCTACCAACCTACTACCACAGGACGGTAGTACCTCCCTGGGTGGTTGTTGTCTACCAACCTACTACCACAGGACGGTAGTACCTCCCTGGGTGGTTGTTGTCTACCAACCTACTACCACAGGATGGTAGTACCTCCCTGGGTGGTTGTTGTCTACCAACCTACTACCACAGGACGGTAGTACCTCCCTGGGTGGTTGTTGTCTACCAACCTACTACCACAGGACGGTAGTACCTCCCTGGGTGGTTGTTGTCTACCAACCTACTACCACAGGATGGTAGTACCTCCCTGGGTGGTTGTTGTCTACCAACCTACTACCACAGGAGGTAGTACCTCCCTGGGTGGTTGTTGTCTACCAACCTACTACCACAGGACGGTAGTACCTCCCTGGGTGGTTGTTGTCTACCAACCTACTACCACAGGACGGTAGTACCTCCCTGGGTGGTTGTTGTCTACCAACCTACTACCACAGGACGGTAGTACCTCCCTGGGTGGTTGTTGTCTACCAACCTACTACCTAAGACTGAAGATATAACTAGATAATGTTTTGATAATGATGATAATAATTTGTCAAGAGATTCAGGGCAGCTAGTTATCTAGACTTGAGTCCTGGAGGTGGGAAGTACATTGCCAGCTGTACTTGAGTCCTGGAGGTGGGAAGTACATTGCCAGCTGTACTTGAGTCCTGGAGGTGGGAAGTACATTGCCAGCTGTACTTGAGTCCTGGAGGTGGGAAGTACATTGCCAGCTGTACTTGAGTCCTGGAGGTGGGAAGTACATTGCCAGCTGTACTTGAGTCCTGGAGGTGGGAAGTACATTGCCAGCTGTACTTGAGTCCTGGAGGTGGGAAGTACATTGCCAGCTGTACTTGAGTCCTGGAGGTGGGAAGTACATTGCCAGCTGTACTTGAGTCCTGGAGGTGGGAAGTACATTGCCAGCTGTACTTGAGTCCTGGAGGTGGGAAGTACATTGCCAGCTGTACTTGAGTCCTGGAGGTGGGAAGTACATTGCCAGCTGTACTTGAGTCCTGGAGGTGGGAAGTACATTGCCAGCTGTACTTGAGTCCTGGAGGTGGGAAGTACATTGCCAGCTGTACTTGAGTCCTGGAGGTGGGAAGTACATTGCCAGCTGTACTTTTAAAGGAGGAGTTTGGGATATTTGCTGTTGAGAGTGACATCTAAACTGTCATATCTTCACTTCTCTGGCAAGACAATGATAGTGTGAATGATGGTGAAAGTTTCTTTTTTTGGGTCACCCTGCCAAGGTGGGAGACGGCCAGTGTGCTAAAAATAACAATAATAACAAATATATTAACATTTTGTCAAGTAGAACTCAACATTTTATATTATTTAGTCCTCTTATACTTTTGGACTTCTGTTTTTACCAGAATGAAGACTGATATTTTAATATTTTAATATATATGGGCAAACAAATTTATTTTGTAAGTCCAGCATTATATAATCCCTTAAGATTTATATAATAGTCAACAAAATTATTCCATTTTGAAAGTTAATGTGTGACATGTTAGTTAATAAGGAAGTTTTTCTTTTTTGGAGTCACTTGTCCTCCGTGGAAGATAATGATCAAAGTCTTAGTTAAGTTCCAAGTTCAATTTGATATTTTTCAGGTGGCAGAGATTACTGAAGTTTGTGAAACTGCGAAAATCTATCAGTTGGGCAACACTAGAACCAACAAAGGTCTTCGTCTCAAGTGAGTTACGTTACAGCAGACTTTGTACATAGTACGTTACAGCAGACTTTGTACATAGTATATTACAGCAGACTTTGTACATAGTATGTTACAGCAGACTTTGTACATAGTATGTTACAGCAGACTTTGTACATAGTATGTTACAGCAGACTTTGTACATAGTATGTTACAGCAGACTTTGTACATAGTATGTTACAGCAGACTTGTACAAAGTATGTTACAGCAGACTTTGTACATAGTATGTTACAGCAGACTTTGTACATAGTATTTTTACAGCAGACTTTGTACATAGTATGTTACAGCAGACTTTGTACATAGTATGTTACAGCAGACTTTGTACAAAGTATGTTACAGCAGACTTTGTACATAGTATGTTACAGCAGACTTTGTACATAGTATGTTACAGCAGACTTTGTACATAGTATGTTACAGCAGACTTTGTACATAGTATATTACAGCAGACTTTGTACATAGTATGTTATAGCAGACTTTGTACATAGTATATTACAGCAGACTTTGTACATAGTATGTTACAGCAGACTTTGTACTTTAGTATGTTACAGCAGACTTTGTACATAGTATGTTACAGCAGACTTTGTACATAGTATGTTACAGCAGACTTTGTACACAGTATGTTACAGCAGACTTTGTACATAGTATGTTACAGCAGACTTTGTACATAGTATGTTACAGCAGACTTTGTACATAGTATGTTACAGCAGACTTTGTACACAGTATGTTACAGCAGACTTTGTACATAGTATGTTACAGCAGACTGTGTACATAGTATGTTACAGCAGACTTTGTACACAGTATGTTACAGCAGACTTTGTACACAGTATGTTACAGCAGACTTTGTACATAGTATGTTACAGCAGACTTTGTACACAGTATGTTACAGCAGACTTTGTACATAGTATGTTACAGCAGACTTTGTACACAGTATGTTACAGCAGACTGTGTACATAGTATGTTACAGCAGACTTTGTACACAGTATGTTACAGCAGACTTTGTACATAGTATGTTACAGCAGACTTTGTACATATTTATGTTACAGCAGACTGTGTACACAGTATGTTACAGCAGACTTTGTACACAGTATGTTACAGCAGACTTTGTACACAGTATGTTACAGCAGACTTTGTATACAGTATGTTACAGCAGACTTTGTACACAGTATGTTACAGCAGACTTTATACACAGTATGTTACAGCAGACTGTGTACATAGTATGTTACAGCAGACTTTGTACACAGTATGTTACAGCAGACTTTGTACACAGTATGTTACAGCAGACTTTGTACACAGTATGTTACAGCAGACTTTGTATACAGTATGTTATAGCAGACTTTGTACACAGTATGTTACAGCAGACTTTGTACACAGTATGTTACAGCAGACTTTGTACACAGTATGTTACAGCAGACTTTGTATACAGTATGTTACAGCAGACTTTGTACACAGTATGTTACAGCAGACTTTATACACAGTATGTTACAGCAGACTGTGTACATAGTATGTTACAGCAGACTTTGTACACAGTATGTTACAGCAGACTTTGTACACAGTATGTTACAGCAGACTTTGTACACAGTATGTTACAGCAGACTTTGTATACAGTATGTTACAGCAGACTTTGTACACAGTATGTTACAGCAGACTTTGTAAAACAGTATGTTACAGCAGACTTTGTACACAGTATGTTACAGCAGACTTTGTACACAGTATGTTACAGCAGACTTTGTACACAGTATGTTACAGCAGACTTTGTACACAGTATGTTACAGCAGACTGTGTACATAGTATGTTACAGCAGACTTGTACACAGTATGTTACAGCAGACTTTGTACACAGTATGTTACAGCAGACTTTGTACACAGTATGTTACAGCAGACTTTGTACTTTAGTATGTTACAGCAGACTTTGTACACAGTATGTTACAGCAGACTTTGTACACAGTATGTTACAGCAGACTGTGTACATAGTATGTTACAGCAGACTTTGTACACAGTATGTTACAGCAGACTTTGTACACAGTATGTTACAGCAGACTTTGTACACAGTATGTTACAGCAGACTTTGTACACAGTATGTTACAGCAGACTTTGTACATAGTATGTTACAGCAGACTTTGTACTCTTCACCTTCACTAGTGTCTGATCCCTACTGCCCTTCCTAACTCTACCTCTGGCATACTCTTCACCTTCACTAGTGTCTGATCCCTACTGCCCTTCCTAACTCTACCTCTGGCATACTCTTCACCTTCACTAGTGTCTGATCCCTACTGCCCTTCCTAACTCTACCTCTGGCATACTCTTCACCTTCACTAGTGTCTGATCCCTACTGCCCTTCCTAACTCAACCTCTGGCATACTCTTCACCTTCACTAGTGTCTGATCCCTACTGCCCTTCCTAACTCTACCTCTGGCATACTCTTCACATTCACTAGTGTCTGATCCCTACTGCCCTTCCTAACTCAACCTCTGGCATACTCTTCACCTTCACTAGTGTCTGATCTAGCATAGCACATCTTTAGCACGTCCTACCCTGCAGCACTGTATGACTCTTGTGGGTTTAGCATTATGTTCTGAATATAATAATAATAATAATTGTAGTACACTGCATCAATATTAGGTTAATTAGCTTAGACTGTGTAGGTAAGACCATGATAGTTAGGGGTTGGTATACAACAACACATAAATGGATAACTAATGGTAGGATTTTGCAGTAAATGTGCTCAGGACTTTTTCCATGTCTACATCTTTCAATTTTTTAATGCGTTTTTTTTTTTTATCAGTGTCAGCATTTATCAGATTAGATCAATATTAAATGAAATGTGGTTTTTGAAATACTATATAAGCTTAAATTTGAAGGAAGGGTCAGTTAAACTAATAATATCTACGCACGTCTGACGAGACAGGTGTTGAATGAATGATGGTGATGTCTGATGTCTGATGTAAAAAACTAAACAGAAATAAAGTATAACATAAAAGTGAGAATGTGTATTTTTTCATGTACTTGTTGGGTCACAGCTTCTTCTGCCTGTCTTTCTTCTTGTCCAGAATTAAAGTTTGCATCTTTCTTCCTGCAGACATGGCAATCAGGAACGAGTCTTCCGTTTAGAATTTGTCAGTAACAGCACCTTCTCTGATTCTGAGTTCAACAAGTGGGTGGAGGACTGTGCTGCACACGGGACAGAACTGCCAACTATGGAACATGTCGAACAGAAGCAGAAAGATATCAAAGATCTGCTATATTACCAGTTTAGTAGTGAGGATATTGACAGAGTAAGTCTCATAGCTTTAATTCACCTTTCACAGATTAGTATAATTATTATTTTATTACAAGGTAAAACTCTATAAAATAAAATATATTTTTCCTGTTATAGGTGAGTTTTTGGGTAGGTAAATGTTGAGAAGTTGTTTGTGTTGGCAGCAACAATATTGTGTCTTGAAGTACCATTATAACAAATTCTGAATATTATTTGGGGTTTGTCTGTGTTAAACTTCATATTTTTGCTGCTGCTTTCCCTCTCCTCTAGTTGACCCTTGACCCATCTTCAGCTGGGTCTTGTCTGATATATGATAGACCTGTGAGAATAACATACACATCTGGGCAAATGGTTCTTTTGATGAGCTTGGCCCACGGCCAGGCTCTGAGAGTTGAACGATTCTGTTCCTGTAGATTATGACTTGTCTACAACTCACACAATGTGTCAGTATTAACCTACCTGTTCTTGTAGAGTTTGTCTTGTGTGCCACTCACACAGTGTGCCAGTATTAGCCTCCCTATAATTGTAGAGTATGCTTGTCTAACCAGATGACTGGTGGCTGCAGTACTTCTCAAGGCTACATTACTCTTGGACATAATAGCAATAGAGGTAATTTTTTTTTTTTCAACAAACCGGCCGTATCCCACCAAGGCAGGGTGGCCCAAAAAGAAAAACGAAAGCAATAGAGGTATATATTAGTAAAATAACTACAGATTAACTTCCACTTCCTTGAGTGTCTGAGGGAAAATAATAATATTGATATATTCAGTGTTTAATAACCACAGATAATTGAGATACTTGGCACGGGAGATATTTATTTGAGAAGATTTCCAACACAGTGGGTCTTTATTATGCACAGCTATATTTTGATAATGTTTATGTGTCTTTATATGGAGAAGATTGTAGTAGATATGTATCTTACCAGATAGTGGAGGAGAAAGCTCGCTTCAACCACAACCCTACCAACTTTGCTGTGGCCAAGACTTTACTTATGAAGGAGAAAGATATGGCCCAGCAGAAAGGTGATGATGAGGTGAGTCAGTGATTCTTCACTAGATGATCTTCTTCAACAATGTTACATACACTAATAATTTATATTGTTTCATTATGCAGTAATGTAAGCAAAAATAAAATTTGGTTACCCAGTTTAAATGATATTGACCACTGTTTGAAAGAGAGAATAACCTAGCAAAAACTGAAATCAAACTGGAAGGCTCAGTCTTCCAAAAACCCAAGACTGAACTAAATTAAACTGTCCAAACGTAGATCTACGTTTGTACCGGTAGCACTCCAAACATAGATCTACGTTTTATTTTACATACTTTCAAATGTAAAATAAAACGTAGATCTACGTTTGGAGTGCTATGCAAGTAAATGTAGATCTACGTTTGGACAGTTGAAGGGTCAAAGCTGTATAAAACGGATACAGTAGAACCCCGTATCCATTGATTTGGTATCTGCTGTTTTAGTTATCCATGGTCTACTGTGACCCAAAAATACCTCTTAATTTTGCATAATAATGATCCCAAAGTGCAAAAGTAAGAGAAGCTGGCAGTTGTTCAAAGCCTAAGAGAAGCTGTGAGGTGCTTCCGAGCAGTAAAAAAGTAATAATTTGATATTCTTCCTCTCAGCCACTCTTCTTCCCTCCACACTTCTTCCTCTCAGCCACTCTTCTTCCCTCCACACTTCTTCCTCTCAGCCTCTCTTCTTCCCTCCACACTTCTTCCTCTCAGCCACTCTTCTTCCCTCCACACTTCTTCCTCACTTCTTTCCTCTCATACTCTGCTCACTATCATTTTGTACTTATTTTAATTTGCTCAATGAAGTATATAAAATTATAAACATTTTTTTTAATTGCAGACTGTGGAAAAGCTTAACGAAAAGATTGCAGACCTCGATGAAAAAGCCAACAGCCTTGACAAACGCAGAACTCAAACTATCGCAGCAATCTCATACATCAATGAACGAAACAGAAAAAATAATGTTGAAAAGGCAGAGAAGGCCATTTTGGTAAGTAAGTTTAGGAGGGTAGGCCCCCTCAAGGAAGGTTCCTTGATGTTGGTGAGGGGCTCTTGATTTAGGGAATTGGATCTGTGCTCCAGTTCCCCAAATTAAGCCTGAATGCCTTCCACATCCCCCCCCCTCCCCCAGGCGCTGTATAATTCTCTGGGTTTAGCGCTTCCCCCTTGATTATAATAATAATAATAGGAGGATAGGCCTTGCAAATTTTTGATATATGTACACTTTAGATAAAACATTACTGATTCATATTTTTAGGATCAAGGGAAAGTTGAAAAATACAGTATATAAGTCAGATTAAAAAAAAAATAACATGAGTTATCTGTTATTGGTTCTGTGGATCATCTTTCCGTGGCTGTATCACAGACCAGACCTCTTAGATTGGAAAATGTTTATGGTTCCAGGGATTACCTTCCCTATGGCTGATTCAGACCAGACCTCCTAGGTTGGAAAGGAGGTATCATCTTGTGTTACTAAGACAGAAAGAAAATATGAGCAAGTCTATCGGAGTGCTAAAAAATGAAAAGGGTTTCCCATTTCTCACTGGAGGAGGATAGTATCTCCCTGGATAGTAGCTGTCTACCAACCTGAGGAGGATAGTACCTCCCTGGATGGTAGCTGTCTGCCAACCTGATGAGGATGGTATGTCACTTGATGGTAGCTGTCTACCAGCCTACTTCCTTCCCCTCTTTCATACATTTATTAAAAAGCACCAACCATTCTAAAACTATATTCCTACCTACTTATAACATTTCTATCGTGATCCCATCTATGTGGTTAGTTTACCCCCTCTCATTATATGCACAACCTTGTGTACTGTACCCCACACTCACGAATGGCTCTTCCTCACTTCTAAAAGATGGTATATCTCCCTGCCCAATCCATGAAATTATTTCTTATCCTCATGAACATTAAATATTCCCTCAATCTTGCCAATACCTCCATCTTCCCCATCTAGTAACTTTCCTTCCTCTTCTGTTTTTAACTGTTAAATCCATTCATTCCCCAGGCTTTCTCAACTTTATTAGTCTCGCTCCAAAGCATTTTCGTATTTTCTTTCACTTGTTCTCCTTTCATACTCACTCACCACTCTCTTACCCAATTTTTTACTCTCCATATACTCCTCTCTCCTTATATCACTTCTGCTTTGTAAAAACCCTCTCACATGATAACTTTTCCTCTCTTATCACTCACTTCACGTCATCGTTTCACCAGTCGCTCCTCTTCCCTCCCACACCCACCCTCTTGTATCCACAAACTTCTCCTGAACACACTAACACTGCATTCTTAAATCTACCCCATACCTCTTCAACCTCCTCCTCCTCCTCCTCCTCTCATTATAGTCTCACTTAACCATCTCTCAACAGTTGTTTATATCATATAGTTACTACACTCTTCTTTAATTTATAAATTTACACTTCTTTCTTACTGATACCATTCTCCTTGTACCTCACCTACCACTTACTCTCATTGTAGCTGTAGCTAAATAATGATCTGATATATCTGTTACCCCTCTAAAAGCATATACATCTGGAAGTTTACCCATCCACCTTTTATCTACCAATATCTTTAACACAACTAGTATCTGATCCTGTGCCAGTACAAACATAGAATCCTGCACAAGACTTCTTACACAGTACTAGCTTTCTACAGGAGCTTTCCACTCCTCCTTGACCTGTCTTCATACACATCTCCTGACACTTCTCCTGACCAGTCCTCCATGCACTCACGACACTCCCTCCTTGACCTGTCCTTCCATCACTCCTGACACTCTTCCTTGACCTGTCTCCCATGCACTCACTGCACTCCCTCCTTGACCTGTCCTCTTATCACTCACCTGACACTCCCTCCTTGACCTGTCCTTCCATACACTCACCTGACACTCCCTCCTTGACCTGTCCTCCCATGCACTCACCTGGCACTCCCTCCTTGACCTGTCCTCCCATGCACTCACCTGACACTCCCTCCTTGACCTGTCCTCCCATGCACTCACCTGGCACTCCCTCCTTGACCTGTCCTCCATGCACTCACCTGACACTCCCTCCTTGACCTGTCCTCCCATGCACTCACCTGACACTCCCTCCTTGACCTGTCCTCCCATGCACTCACCTGACACTCCCTCCTTGACCTGTCCTCCCATGCACTCACCTGACACTCCCTCCTTGACCTGTCCTCCCATGCACTCACCTGACATCCCTCCTTGACCTGTCCTCCCATGCACTCACCTGGCACTCCCTCCTTGACCTGTCCTCCCATGCACTCACCTGACACTCCCTCCTTGACCTGTCCTCCCATGCACTCACCTGACACTCCCTCCTTGACCTGTCCTCCCATGCACTCACCTGACACTCCCTCCTTGACCTGTCCTCTCCATGCACTCACCTGACACTCCCTCCTTGACCTGTCCTCCCATGCACTCACCTGGACACTCCCTCCTTGACCTGTCCTCCCATGCACTCACCTGGCACTCCCTCCTTGACCTGTCCTCCCATGCACTCACCTGACACTCCCTCCTTGACCTGTCCTCCCATGCCTCACCTGACACTCCCTCCTTGACCTGTCCTCCCATGCACTCACCTGACACTCCCTCCTTGACCTGTCCTCCCATGCACTCACCTGACACTCCCTCCTTGACCTGTCCTCCCATGCACTCACCTGGCACTCCCTCCTTGACCTGTCCTCCCATGCACTCACCTGACACTCCCTCCTTGACCTGTCCTCCCATGCACTCACCTGGCACTACCCCTCCTTGACCTGTCCTCCCATGCACTCACCTGACACTCCCTCCTTGACCTGTCCTCCCATGCACTCACCTGACACTCCCTCCTTGACCTGTCCTCCCATGCACTCACCTGGCACTCCCTCCTTGACCTGTCCTCCCATGCACTCACCTGACACTCCCTCCTTGACCTGTCCTCCCATGCACTCACCTGACACTCCCTCCTTGACCTGTCCTCCCATGCACTCACCTGGCACTCCCTCCTTGACCTGTCCTCCCATGCACTCACCTGCACTCCCTCCTTGACCTGTCCTCCCATGCACTCACCTGACACTCCCTCCTTGACCTGTCCTCCCATGCACTCACCTGGCACTCCCTCCTTGACCTGTCCTCCCATGCACTCACCTGGCACTCCCTCCTTGACCTGTCCTCCCATCACTCACCTGACACTCCCTCCTTGACCTGTCCTCCCATGCACTCACCTGACACTCCCTCCTTGACCTGTCCTCCCATGCACTCACCTGGCACTCCCTCCTTGACCTGTCCTCCCATGCACTCACCTGGCACTCCCTCCTTGACCTGTCCTCCCATGCACTCACCTGGCACTCCCTCCTTGACCTGTCCTCCCATGACACTCACCTGGCACTCCCTCCTTGACCTGTCCTCCCATACACTCACCTGGCACTCCCTCCTTGACCTGTCCTCCCATGCACTCACCTGGCACTCCCTCCTTGACCTGTCCTCCCATGCACTCACCTGGCACTCCCTCCTTGACCTGTCCTCCCATACACTCACCTGGCACTCCCTCCTTGACCTGTCCTCCCATGCACTCACCTGACACTCCCTCCTTGACCTGTCCTCCCATGCACTCACCTGGCACTCCCTCCTTGACCTGTCCTCCCATGCACTCACCTGACACTCCCTCCTTGACCTGTCCTCCCATGCACTCACCTGGCACTCCCTCCTTGACCTGTCCTCCCATGCACTCACCTGGCACTCCCTCCTTGACCTGTCCTCCCATGCACTCACCTGACACTCCCTCCTTGACCTGTCCTCCCATGCACTCACCTGGCACTCCCTCCTTGACCTGTCCTCCCATGCACTCACCTGGCACTCCCTCCTTGACCTGTCCTCCCATGCACTCACCTGACACTCCCTCCTTGACCTGTCCTCCCATGCACTCACCTGGCACTCCCTCCTTGACCTGTCCTCCCATGCACTCACCTGGCACTCCCTCCTTGACCTGTCCTCCCATGCACTCACCTGGCACTCCCTCCTTGACCTGTCCTCCCATGCACTCACCTGACACTCCCTCCTTGACCTGTCCTCCCATGCACTCACCTGGCACTCCCTCCTTGACCTGTCCTCCCATGCACTCACCTGGCACTCCCTCCTTGACCTGTCCTCCCATGCACTCACCTGGCACTCCCTCCTTGACCTGTCCTCCCATGCACTCACCTGGCACTCCCTCCTTGACCTGTCCTCCCATGCACTCACCTGGCACTCCCTCCTTGACCTGTCCTCCCATGCACTCACCTGACACTCCCTCCTTGACCTGTCCTCCCATGCACTCACCTGGCACTCCCTCCTTGACCTGTCCTCCCATGCACTCACCTGGCACTCCCTCCTTGACCTGTCCTCCCATGCACTCACCTGACACTCCCTCCTTGACCTGTCCTCCCATGCACTCACCTGGCACTCCCTCCTTGACCTGTCCTCCCATGCACTCACCTGGCACTCCCTCCTTGACCTGTCCTCCCATGCACTCACCTGGCACTCCCTCCTTGACCTGTCCTCCCATGCACTCACCTGACACTCCCTCCTTGACCTGTCCTCCCATGCACTCACCTGGCACTCCCTCCTTGACCTGTCCTCCCATGCACTCACCTGACACTCCCTCCTTGACCTGTCCTCCCATGCACTCACCTGGCACTCCCTCCTTGACCTGTCCTCCCATGCACTCACCTGGCACTCCCTACTTGACCTGTCCTCCCATGCACTCACCTGGCACTCCCTCCTTGACCTGTCCTCCCATGCACTCACCTGGCACTCCCTCCTTGACCTGTCCTCCCATGCACTCACCTGGCACTCCCTCCTTGACCTGTCCTCCCATGCACTCACCTGGCACTCCCTCCTTGACCTGTCCTCCCATGCACTCACCTGGCACTCCCTCCTTGACCTGTCCTCCCATGCACTCACCTGGCACTCCCTCCTTGACCTGTCCTCCCATGCACTCACCTGGCACTCCCTCCTTGACCTGTCCTCCCATGCACTCACCTGGCACTCCCTCCTTGACCTGTCCTCCCATGCACTCACCTGGCACTCCCTCCTTGACCTGCCCTCCCATGCACTCACCTGGCACTCCCTCCTTGACCTGTCCTCCCATGCACTCACCTGGCACTCCCTACTCCCCTGTGCAGTTAGAGGTGTAACTTTTCCTATAAGTTTCAGTTGTTAAAGAGGATCCCAGAAGGGTTGAATATATACAGATCAATCAGTCTGTTGTGTTTCTGTCTCCATGTGGGTTTTTATTAAACATTAACAAGTGTTCATTTCACTTGAGTTATTCATATCTTGCATACTTATTTATCCTCCTTTTTTTATAAATATATTACTTTTTACCAAACTTGTTTCTATACAAATTGAGTTAAGGGCCCCACATTATCATTTACCCCTGGCACCTTAAACTCACCTACCATGTCCTTCACAACAGTTTATTTCACTTTAACATTCAGGTCTCCTACCACAATTACTCTCTCACTTGATTCAGAACTCCATAAATACTAACTTAGCATCTGCCAAAATCTCTCTTCTGTACACTCCTCTTTTCCCCCACTTTTTGCATCCAACCCTTATTTTAATTCACATAATTCTTAAATTTATACATTTACATTCCCTCTTTTCCTTCCATAACTGATCATTTAACATTACTGCAACTTCTTGCCTAGCTCTAACTCACATACACCTGACATAATCCCATTTGTTTCTCCCCATTGAAAATTTGCTAACACCTTCAGTTAATGTCTTTCCTGTCTTTATAATTTCAGGCAGAAATTGAAGCTAAGAAAGGTTTAAAAGTGGAAGATCCCTTCACCAGACGCTCCACTCGGCCAACCATGGTCACCAAAACCAAAGAGCCAGAAATTCATTCCTCGGAAATGTTGCTAAGAATGGAAATGGAAAGAAAAAAGAAAATGGATGAAGATAAAAAGAAAAAGGTGATTTTAATATTTTTTGGTTACTTAGTAAAGGGATCTATTGGTACCTAAGCTGTATAGCCCTTGTGGCTTAGCGCTTCTTTTTGATTATAATAATAATAATATTGGTACCTATATATAATATTGGTACCTATATATAATATTGGTACCTATATATAATATTGGTACCTATATATAATATTGGTACCTATATATAATATTGGTACCTATATATAATAACTTTGTCCTTGGAGGCAAAGAGGGGAATGTATGAGAGTATAGTTTTACCAACGCTCTTATATGGGTGTGAAGCATGGGTGATGAATGTTGCAGGGAGGAGAAGGCTGGAAGCAGTGGAGATGTCATGTCTGAGGGCAATGTGTGGTGTGAATATAATGCAGAGAATTCGTAGTTTGGAAGTTAGGAGGAGGTGCGGGATTACCAAAACTGTTGTCCAGAGGGCTGAGGAAGGGTTGTTTAGGTGGTTCGGACATGTAGAGAGAATGGAGCGAAACAGAGTGACTTCAAGAGTGTATCAGTCAGTAGTGGAAGGAAGGCGGGGTAGGGGTCGGCCTAGGAAAGGTTGGAGGGAGGGGGTAAAGGAGGTTTTGTGTGCGAGGGGCTTGGACTTCCAGCAGGCATGCGTGAGCGTGTTTGATAGGAGTGAATGGAGACAAATGGTTTTTAATACTTGACGTGCTGTTGGAGTGTGAGCAAAGTAACATTTATGAAGGGGTTCAGGGAAACTGGCAGGCCGGACTTGAGTCCTGGAGATGGGAAGTACAGTGTCTGCACTCTGAAGGAGGGGTGTTAATGTTGCAGTTTAAAAACTGGAGTGTAAAGCACCCTTCTGGCAAGTCAGTGATGGAGTGAATGATGGTGAAAGTTTTTCTTTTTCGGGCCACCCTGCCTTGGTGGGAATCGGCCAGTGTGATAATAATAATAATAATAATAATAATAATATATAATATTGGTACCTATTTTCATATAGTCGGACTTGAGTCCTGGAAATGGGAAGTACAATGCCTGCACTTTAAAGGAGGGTTTGGGTTATTGGCAGTTTGGAGGGATATGTTGTGTATCTTTATACGTATATGCTTCTAAACTGTTGTATTCTGAGCACCTCTGCAAAAACAGTGATAATGTGTGAGTGTGGTGAAAGTGTTGGATGATGATGAAAGTATTTTCTTTTTGGGGATTTTCTTTCTTTTTTGGGTCACCCTGCCTTGGTGGGAGACGACCGACTTGTTGAAAAAAAAAAAAACATATATATAATATTGGTACCTATATATAATATTGGTACCTATATATAATATTGGTACCTATATATAATATTGGTACCTATATATAATATCATGGATGATACGTTGATGTCATGATAAAAGTCTCCAGTTTCTTGTAACGTACAATATTGTTCAGTCGTAATATAATACAGCTGCTCCTGGCTGTATGGTGTCTCAACTTTACAATGGTACATTGTACTATGTAACTTATTTCTTGTACTCTTCAGTACTGTACATTTATTGATAGGATCAATTTGTATTCATTTATTTACTCTTCAGTGTTGGTATGTATTTAGTTAGTTAGGAAGAAAGCAAGTGTAATATAGTGTAAATGGTACAAAGGTGACATTAAAACAGTATCAAAGATGGTTGACACAAACCCACTGCCATTATACTATGTTCCTCACTTAGCAACAAATTTGTTTACTGATGTGGTCTTAGGAATGCAACTCTGTTGTTGAGTGAGCAGAGGTTTGGGGACATAACTAATGAACAGAGCTAATGTTGTTTTACTCCAAAGAATGTCTACATTGTCTGTTCTGGATCCTCTAAATTAACAGGTTTTAATGTTCTGTGAAATTAGCTGCATTACTCATTTCTGATCACTTTATTGGGTAGTTGAAATAGGTATTGAGCTCTTTCTTGTATTCAATCAATAGAATAGAAGGAATACTAGCAAAATATCTATGACTTTGGCTGACTGGGACAATGGAATTTGCAGAAAATAGGACTCAAAGTCCGCAAAATTGCTGATGCATAAATATTGTCGAAACTGTTAATTTTGCAAGAGCGTAATTCAGTAAGTTTTCCATTAAATTTAATACTTTTAGTTTCATTACCTTCAAAAATGATTCACTATCATTTCATAAGATATTTTTTTTTTCTAAATTCTTGGACACTGAGAGCACCTCTCAGATCAAGAGTCTGGACACTGAGAGCACCTCTCAGATCAGGAGTCTGGACACTGAGAGCACCTCTCAGATCAGAGTCTGGACACTGAGAGCACCTCTCAGATCAGGAGTCTGGACACTGAGAGCACCTCTCAGATCAGGAGTCTGGACACTGAGAGCACCTCTCAGATCAGGAGTCTGGACACTGAGAGCACCTCTCAGATCAAGAGTCTGGACACTGAGAGCACCTCTCAGATCAAGAGTCTGGACACTGAGAGCACCTCTCAGATCAGGAGTTTGGACACTGAGAGCACCTCTCAGATCAGGAGTCTGGACACTGAGAGCACCTCTTAGATCAGGAGTCTGGACACTGAGAGCACCTCTCAGATCAAGAGTCTGGACACTGAGAGCACCTCTCAGTCAGGAGTCTGGACACTGAGAGCACCTCTCAGATCAAGAGTCTGGACACTGAGAGCACCTCTCAGATCAAGAGTCTGGACACTGAGAGCACCTCTCAGGTCAGGAGTCTGGACACTGAGAGCACCTCTCAGATCAAGAGTCTGGACACTGAGAGCACCTCTCAGATCAAGAGTCTGGACACTGAGAGCACCTCTCAGATCAGGAGTCTGGACACTGAGAGCACCTCTCAGATCAAGAGTCTGGACACTGAGAGCACCTCTCAGATCAGGAGTCTGGACACTGAAAGCACCTCTCAGATCAAGAGTCTGGACACTGAGAGCACCTCTCAGATCAAGAGTCTGGTCACTGAGAGCACCTCTCAGATCAGAAGTCTGGACACTGAGAGCACCTCTCAGATCAGGAGTCTGGACACTGAGAGCACCTCTCAGATCAGGAGTCTGGAGACTGAGAGCACCTCTCAGATCAGGAGTCTGGACACTGAGAGCACCTCTCAGATCAGGAGTCTGGACACTGAGAGCACCTCTCAGATCAGGAGTCTGGTCACTGAGAGCACCTCTCAGAATCAGGAGTCTGGACACTGAGAGCACCTCTCAGATCAGGAGTCTGGACACTGAGAGCACCTCTCAGATCAGGAGTCTGGACACTGAGAGCACCTCTCAGGTCAGGAGTCTGGACACTGAGAGCACCTCTCAGATCAGGAGTCTGGACACTGAGAGCACCTCTCAGATCAGGAGTCTGGACACTGAGAGCACCTCTCAGATCAGGAGTCTGGACACTGAGAGCACCTCTCAGATCAGGAGTCTGGACACTGAGAGCACCTCTCAGATCAGGAGTCTGGACACTGAGAGGGTTAATCCTTGGAATTGGAGCCACCATTTCCTTCCTTCAAGCTGAGTTAATTACCTTCCATTCCCCAGGCTCTATATAACTTAATTTAGCATGTCTACTTAAATATACAACACTAATAAGAATAATCAGTTTCAATATTTGTTATTTACATCGTAGGATGAGGAGATAAGCAGAAAGAAGCAGGATGAAGAGAAGAAGAAAGATGAAGAACGTAAGAGAGTACAAGCAGAGGATCTGTTTGCAGCCCACGACTTTGATGTCAAGATTGACCTGGATGTCACAATGCCCGGTGAGTTTTGTTCATCACTAACAGTTAACTACATAAAAGTAAAGGAGTACTGGAGTTGGCTTCCTGACCTATGCTAGGTAGGTTCTTCTCACACCCAACCATTCTCACCTGTGTGGAGAAAGACACTTATGTACAGTAATCATGGCTTAAGAAGCCACTCCTAGTGAAAATATTCTTCTTATTCTTTCAATAAATAGGCTGTATCCCACCCAGGCAAGGTGGCCCAAAAAGAAAAACAAAAGTTTCTCTTTTTAAATTTAGCAATTTATACAGGAGAAGAGGATTACTAGCCCCTTGCTCCCGGCACTTTAGTTGCCTCTTACGACATGCATGGCTTACTGAGGAGGAATTCTTTTCCACTTCCCCATGGAGCTGGTAAAATATTGTCTTCAATAAATGTGCTGAACTCTACACAAGTGTTTTTTTCCACATCTTGCCAGTATCACCATACCATTTATTCCCACTTGAATTTTTTAACACATTAGCTGTTTCCCAGTGAGTCAGGTGACCTGAAAAAGAGGAAACACTTTCATCATCACTCACTCCATCACTATCTTGCCAGAGGCATGCCAATACTATAGTTCAAAAACTGCAGTGTATCTCCGCATGCATGTGTAGTGCGACCCAAGTGTAAGTAGAAGTAGCAAGATATACCTGTCATCTTGTACTATATGTAATAATAATGTAATGTTTGTGTTTCAGCTTCTGCTCCGCTTGGACCCAGACAAACACTGGGGAACGCCACCAATGAGAGTTCCAATGGTTCAGCTCCTAAGAGATCCCTAAACCTGGAAGAATACAAAAAGAAGAAGGGACTAATATGAGGCATTTGTACTTAGGAAACAATCTAGTTAGTAGACAAATGACTGGTAAATGCTAAAAACTGGATGGTAAAGCCATTCTTTCAGCATTTAGTTGGAATGCAGACTGGCTAATAATGCTTCAAATGTTTTTTGGTTGGGGGGAGGGATGGGTGACTCATTTATTGATGTACCGTGAATAATGTGATTCAAAAATTCTATTTTCACACTAGTTATATAGAAAACATCATGACTTTAAATGTGAGAATAACATGCAAACATTGTATGTCAGCTGTGAAGAATTATTAGTAACATTTCCTAATTATCAATTATGTGTCCGTCACCTTTAACTAATTTTGTTTCTTTCGTGACTGAAAGAAAAACTGAAATTTAGACATCTTCACTAATTCTATGGGGAGCTTGAATTTATCTCTTGTTACACATTTTGTTTACTGGTAATTGTGGAACTAGTGTTGTGGCCAAAAGTTTGTAAAATTGCAAGAAATAACTTTTATTTCTGACAGTTGGGTTGTTTGTTTATAATGATCGTTCACTGCTGAATAAATTATGGTATAGAATACACATTTATCTCATCATGGGTAATTAACTAGATATTTATTTCATGTCTGTTCATTTCAGATTAAAATATAATTAGTTTCTTAATTTAGTAATCCATTCCTTTACGTAACTGGATACGGATTTTACACATTTTATTTATTGAAATCATTAGGACTCGGTCCATGAACGTTAGGCTCTCGAAGATATGGTCTTATCCACAGTTTTCATATTGTCATATCATTTTATATTTAAAAAGATATTATCATGTTGTACATGGAATGTTGACTGGTGCATAATACATTACAGCAGATATGTAAGGTATTGTACATAGAAGTGAAGTGTAAGCTGAATTGTGTGGTAGAGCAGAACAGAGGTGTTGCTTCTCTTGTTCCATTACCATAAGAATAGAGGCACAATGAGTTCTGGTGATGGCAAGTACAGTGTCTGTACTATAAAGGAGGAGTTGGGATGTTTGCTGTTTGGAATGACATCTGAACTGTTGTTGCGGTGCGTCTCTGGCAAGATAGTGTCAATGATGGTGAAAGTTTCTTTTTCAGGTTGCCCGGTCTTGGTGGGAAGCGGCCAGTGTGTCTAAAAAACTTAAACCATCATTCGCACCTCGAATATCAAACATGTTTCTATAAAACACAAATTTTGTCCATTAGGCCCTGATGCCTCAGTCTGCAGTCATATTTGTATATGGCACTGATGCCTCCATCTATAAACTATATTTATATATGGCACTGATTCCTCCACTTCTAAAGCTATATTTATATATGGCACTGATGCCTCCATCTGTTGGCCATATTCATTTGTGGCCCTGATGGAAGACGAATTACTACTTGGCTCAGTGTAGAAGCTACTCTCAGGCAGAGATGGTAATGGATGCCAAGTCTCCTAGGTACATGACTCAGCACAGTATACATGCCAAGCTTCCTAGGTACACCTACCATCCGACTTACGACCTGCTCGACATATGACCACTCGACTTATGACCATGTTTTTTATGCCAAATTTTTGGGAAATAAACAATGTTTGTGTTGTACACAGTGTTTATCCTACACCTTATGGTATAAAATACAGTACTAACAGCATAAAAAGTAAAGTAAAAAAATTAAATACCAAAAAAAAAAAAAAAATCATTACAAATGTGTGTTGTTGATAGTCATTAGAAAGGTTCGACTTACATCCATTTTGACTTACGACCGGTTGGTCGGAACCAAGCTTGGTCGTAAGTCAGATGGTACCTGTATATGGCTTGGCACAGTATACATGCCAAGCCTCCTAGGTATATGTTTAACACAGTATGTATGCCAAGCTTCCTAGGTACATGGCTCAGCACAGTATGCTAGAAAATTTCAAAAGTGCCAAACTATTCACGATGTATCAAGTGCAAAGGATAGTGCGTACACACAGGATAAATGGAGTGGAGAGAATAGTGCAAGCACGCAGGATAGATGGAGTGGAGAGAATAGTGCGTACAGCGCAGGATAGATGGAGTGGAAAGAATAGTGCGTACACGCAGGATAGATATACTTTGTTTAATTTGCTAAATGGCTTTTCTTCCATACTGGTTACAAGCTCAAATTATAAATAAATGAATATTAATGGTTCTTAAATTCATCCAAATATTTCAGCTCATTTAATAACAAAATTGGGTTATGTTTGACTCAGAAAGAATTAGTTCAATTGTAAGTATTTTGTTAAGATCTTTATAAGCATTGTTAAGCCTCAATGATTACCAGGAAATAGATATAATAAGTTGAACTGCCACTAACACGTTGATCAGGCGGTGACTGAAAACTTTTCTTGTATGAAGCAGCCTGATGACGGCTCAAGATTTCCTTGCAGCCTGATGACGGCTCAAGATTTCCTTGCAGCCTGATGACGGCTCAAGATTTCCTTGCAGCCTGATGACGGCTCAAGATTTCCTTGCAGCCTGATGATGGCTCAAGATTTCCTTGCAGCCTGATGACGGCTCAAGATTTCCTTGCAGCCTGATGACGGCTCAAGATTTCCTTGCAGCCTGATGACGGCTCAAGATTTCCTTGCAGCCTGATGACAGCTCAAGATTCCTTGCAGCTGATGACGCTCAAGATTTCCTGCAGCCTGATGATGCTCAATGATTCCTTGCACCTGTGACGACTCAAGATTTCCTTGCAGCCTGATGATGGCTCGAGATTTCCTTGCAGCCTGATGATGGCTCAAGATTTCCTTGCAGCCTGATGATGGCTCAAGATTTCCTTGCAGCCTGATGACGACTCAAGATTTCCTTGCAGCCTGATGACGACTCAAGATTTCCTTGCAGCCTGATGATGGCTTGAGATTTCCTTGCAGCCTGATGATGGCTCGAGATTTCCTTGCATGCACGACTAATGGTTAAGCATTTGTTTTATTTGTTTTATATGAATAAACAGCAAATATTTGCATATGTTTTTTATTGTTCCTGATACAGTGGTCAATATATCCACATGAATGATTCTTAATGACTATACAGTGGTACCTCGAGTTATGAACTTAATTCGTTCCAGACGGCTGTTTGAGTGCTGATACCAAACGAATTTGTTCCCATAAGGAATAATGTAAATGAGATTAGTCTGTTTCAGACCCCCAAAAATACACTTACAAAAGCACATACAAAAATACACTTACATAATTGTTTGAGTTGGGAGGTGTTCAGAACTCAAGGTACCACAGTATTAGTGAATTTATCCCTCTAAATAACCCTGAAGGGAGGTTCCTTGATGCTGCTGTGGGGTTCTTGATCCAAGGAACTGGACTTGTCCTCCCCTTATTTGGATTGAACCTGATTTCCTACCATTACCCCAATAAACAAATAACAACTTCAGAAGTTGATTCTCAGGAACAAGAATAATAATAATTCCATATTTGGTAAGTTGTGGTTCGCTGCTAAAATAAGAATTGTTTAGGAAAACTACAAATAATTTTGTAAGTTATTATAAATGTGTAGAATGATTGTAATGGCAGATGTGTGGGTTTATATATGTATAGTTATGTACAAGGTTCCTTGTTATTCCTTGCAGGACTGTTGGACTCGACCAAAGGATCCTTCAAGGGATACGGGGCCTTGATGCTGGTAAAGGGCTCTTTATCCAAGGAGTTAGAGCTTCCTTGGATCAAACCTGAATACCTCTTATAATCCCTAGGTGCTATATGACACCCTGTGGGTTTAGCACTTATTAATGATAATACATCAGATGTTGGAAAAACAAGTGTGGTATTCATCACACAGAAACTAACAGATTTCTGGAGTATACCTGGAGAGAGTTCTGGGGGTCAACGCCCCAGCGGTCCGGTCTGGGACCAGGCCTTATGGTGGATCAGGGCCTGATCAACCAGGCTGTTACTGCTGGCCGCATGTAATCCAACGTATGAACCACAGCCCGGCTGGTCAGGTACTGACTTTAGGTGCCTGTCCAGTGCCTGCTTGAAGACAGCCAGGGGTCTATCGGTAATCCCCCTTATGTATGCTGGGAGGCAGTTAAACAATCTTGAGCCCCTGACACAATTCCTGTATGCATAATTTCTGTATGACCCATAAGAATTTATGGCTTATTTTTTTAATATACCAATAATATTAATCGTAGAATGTCCCCTATTTTGTAAGGGGGTGAGGTGACCCCTATTTTGTAAGGGTGACCCCACCTGGCTGGGAGACATGTGGTGACTTACAACAAAATATACAGTATATGGCAAGATGTGTCCCTGAAGGAAGTGCCGTTCCTTCCAACCTATTATAATTATAACGTTTGTCTTTAAGCTGTACTGTTGTTCATTTAGCTGTATAGCCCTTGTGGCTTAGCGCTTCTTTTTGATTATAATAATAATAATGTTGTTCATTTAGTCCTAATACAGAGATTACTAAGAACTAGTATATATATAGTGGCAGAAGTCAGGTGGTAAGTCTCGATTTTCCGGAACCTTTGGTTCCAAAACCTTTCCAAATTACTGAGTTTTCCGCCTTTAGAGAGCACAGTATTCCTTGGTCTTGTGGTTGGATAAGTGACATACAGTTTGGTGGTAAACACACTGCCGTGGGAATTTCAAGTTCCTGCTTGTAAATTTGTATGGTCCAGATCATCAGTGTCTGGAAAATCGACGCTGTACCTGCAGTAGTAGTACAATCAGGAGTAGATCTGCTATGAAACTAATGAAGCTTAAGCTTGAGGGGCCCCTACTCTCAGAGGACCCCAAAAGCGACTTCACTTCACGTTGCTTAAAAATTTTGGGTCTACTGTATGAGAAGAGGTTGTGAAGGGGCCCCCATAACAATTCAGGCTTCAGGGACCCAAAAAATGTAGGTCCACCACTGAGTACAATACTACTACTATAACTATCCTCTCACAGCTTACTACCTGACTCCTGAAATGTACATAAATAAACTATACCACGGGCAAGGCTTGAACCCGTCGTCAGAGAGTCGTGAACACCAGACGGATGCTTCAGCCACTGGGCCAGCTGGCTACAATAACCTTCATTCAACTAGGTACACTATACGAAGGTTAGCATAGGCACCACTGTGACCACAAATGCAAGTTTCTACAAACTAATTTCCTGCCAGCATGGCCGTGATGAACTCTAGCTCAAGTCCCCTCAAAGCCATCATCATGGTTCAAGCCCTGTCCATGGTATGGTTCGGTTGTAATTCTGTCGTTATGATTTCGTGAGTCATAAGAATGTAAGAAAGAAGGAGCACTGCAAGCAGGCCTACTGGCCCATGCAAGGCAGGTCCAAGTCTCCTACCAGCTTATACCACTGGCCCAACCTAGTCACGTCAGGTCACATCCACTTAAGGAGCATAAAAAAAATAAAATTGAATAGGCACAACAGACCCAGGATGAGTGAATAGGCACAACAGACCCAGGATGAGTGAATAGGCACAACAGACCCAGGATGAGTGAATAGGCACAACAGACCCAGGATGAGTGAATAGGCACAACAGACCCAGGATGAGTGAATAGGCACAACAGACCCAGGATGAGTGCCTGCCATTCCCATGTGGGTTTTGTGCTTCCCCAAGAGTGTATGTTATCTGTGGAGATATGATACCAGTCCATTCTCTTCAAGGGAACAAAGATTATCAGTAACTGCAGCTACACGAGGTTATAACTTCAAGGTTATAACTGTTATAACTTTACAACAGAAGCAACAGTAGTCTTACAGTGACAACGGTACAAAAAAGTTGACAATTGAAGACTCAAGGCCAACCAGTTGTTTCAGAATGTATATGTTGCAACACCATATACATTGAGATACAGTATATATATGTTGCAACATCATATACACTGAGATGTGCTTATATTTCAGAGTATATATACCTGAGATATGTGTATATCTTAGTATATATACATTAAGAGGTGTATATCTCAGCAGACACTACGAGGTGTGTATTAATATATATACACTAAGAGTTACTTCAGTGTATATATATATATATATATATATATATATATATATATAAAATTATATTAATATATATATATATATACATATATATTAATTATGTATGTGTGTGTGTGTGTGTGTGTGTGTGTGTGTGTGTGTGTGTGTGTGTGTGTGTATCTCAGTGTATATACACTGGTAGTTTACATTAATCAGTATTTTAGGTATTAAAGTAGTCTTGTCTGGTGACCCTGGTGTAGTAGATAGACTTTAAACCCCATTAACCAACCAGCCAGTCTTAATGACCATGGTGTAGTAGATAGACTTTAAACCCTTAATATTAACCAATCAAGTCATATCCTTGACAAGGTAGCTCCTTGATGTTGCTGTCAGTTTCTTGATCCAAGGAATCACAGCAACAATTTATTACCTTCCATGCCCTCCCTGTTCTCCCATGCCCTCCCTGTTCTCCCATGCCCTCCCTGTTCTCCCATGCCCTCCCTGTTCTCCCATGCCCTCCTGTTCTCCCTTCCATGCCCTCCCGTTCTCCCATGCCCTCACTGTTCTCCCTTCCATGCCCTCCCTGTTCTCCCTTCTATGCCCTCCCTGTTCTCCCATGCCCTCACTGTTCTCCCTTCCATGCCCTCCCTGTTCTCCCTTCTATGCCCTTCCTGTTCTCCCATGCCCTCACTGTTCTCCCTTCCATGCCCTCCCTGTTCTCCTTTCCATGCCCTCCCTGTTCTCCCATGCACTCCCTGTTCTCCCATGCCCTCCCTGTTCTCCCTTCTATGCCCTCCCTGTTCTCCCTTCCATGCCCTCCCTGTTCTCCTTTCCATGCCCTCCCTGTTCTCCCATGCCCTCCCTTCCCATGCACTCCTGTTCTCCCATGCACTCCCTGTTCTCCCTTCCATGCCCTCCCTGTTCTCCCATGCCTTCCCTGCTCTCCCTCCCATGCCCTCCCTGCTGCCATAAACAAGGGAAGGAGGGGGGTTAAGGGGGGGAGGGAGATAATAGTGGTTATTGGTAGTTGCTGGTGGTGGGGGTTAAAGGGTAGTGGCAGGGGGTAGGGGTTAAGTAGAGTCAGCCAGCAGCTGGTCCTCCTGGCTGGCTAGCTGGCTGGCCTGCCTGGCTGGCTGGCTTCCTGCCTGGCCTGCCTGGCCTGCCTGGCTGGCTGGCTATCATGGCTGGCTGGTGGCTGGCTGGCTGACTGACTGGCTGGCTGGTTGGCTTCCTGCCTGGCTAGCTGGCTGGCTGGCTGGCCTGCCTGGCTGGCTGGCTTCCTGCCTGGCCTGCCTGGCTGGCTGGATATCATGGCTGGCTGGCTGGCTGGCTGACTGGCTGGCTGGTTGGCTGGTTGGCTTCCTGCCTGGCCTGCCTGGCTGGCTGGCTACCATGGCTGGCTGGCTGGCTGACTGGCTGGCTGGCTGGCTACCATGGCTGGCTGGCTGGCTACCATGGCTGGCTGGCTGGCTGGCTGGCCTGGCTGGCTACCATGGCTGGCTGGCTGGCTGGCTGGCTGGCTGGCTGGCTGGCCTGGCTGGCTGGCCGGCCTGGCTGGCTGGCCTGCCTGGCTGGCTGGCTGGCCTGGCTGGCCTGGTTGGCTGGCTGGCTGGCCTGGCTGGCTGGCCTGGCTGGCTGGCTCAGTTCTCCCTCACACCTCCAACAGTCAAGACTCCCTCCATCAACTCCTCCACTCCACCTCCATCATGGCTCTAGAACAAGTTACCCGCGCCTTCCTGTATACCTCTCACCATTGTATAACACCACGACCATGTACTCCTCACCATGTGTACCTCACAACTGTTATACCAGAATTCTATACCAGTCATACTGGCTTGGCTCACCAGCTTTATTTTAATGTATACATCCATGTTATATTATATACCCATGTATGTTGATATACCTCCATGTATATGTATACCCATGTATAGTATGTATACTCCATGTATATATGTGTATACCCAGTAATATGGTGTAATTATTTTACTCCATGTATTTGTATACCCATGTATAGTGTATATATCTCATACGTAATAATGTATATACACATGTATATTATATATTCCATGTATATTATCCATGTGTATATATATCCATGTATATTCCTGTATACCATGTATATGTATATATTCCATGTATATTGTGTATACCATGTATATAGTGTGTATATTCCATGTATATTTATACCCATGTATATGTATATATCATATACTACATAATGTATATACATCATGTATATTATGTATATCCATGTATATTATGTATATCCATGTATATTATCCATGTATATTATCCATGTATATTATGTATATCCATGTATATTATCCATGTATATTATGTATATCCATGTATATTATCCATGTATATTATGTATATCCATGTATATTATCCATGTTATTGATATCCATGTATATTATCTCATGTATATCCATGTATATTATCCATGTATATTATGTATATCCATGTATATTATCCATGTATATTATCCATGTATATTATCCATGTATATTGTATATCCATGTATATTATCCATGTATATTATCATGTATATTCCATGTATATTATCCATGTATATTGTATAACCATGTATATTATCCATGTATATCTATCCATGTATATTTGTAATCCATGTATATTATCATGTATATTATGTATACCATGTATATTATATATCCATGTATATTATCCATGTATATTATATATCATGTATATCCATGTATATTATCCATGTATATTTGTATATCCATGTATATTATCCATGTATATTTATACATTATCCATGTTATATTATCCTATAGTATATATTCTGTAAATCCATGTATAAAAATATTATATATACCATGTATATTAATCCATGTATATTATCCATGTATATTATATATATCCATGTATATTATGTATATATATGTATATTATCCATGTATATATTATATCCATGATAATCCATGTATATATTGTATATTATCCATGTAATATTATCCATGTATATTATATGTATAATCCATGTATATTATTATATCCATGTATATTATGTATATCCATGTATATTATCTATGTATATTATCCATGTATATTATCCATGTATATTATGTATATCCATGTATATTATCCATGTATATTATGTATATCCATGTATATTATCCATGTATATTTATATCCATGTATATTATGTATACATTTGGTTGCAGTTAATTACCTTAATTAGGATAATTATCACTTCAGTAATTATGTTGATCCAGGTTATAGGACCCATACGGGTTTACAGCTTTATAATGGTAATTATTAACTTAGTTTAGGAGGTTAATTAACATTGTTAATTATGTTAATATTGAAAAAATATTGTATTTTTAACTTATTGGTTAATATGTAGCTCTTGGGCCGGGCAGCAGGTGTTAGGCGGCAGGTGTTAGCATAGGCCTAGTGTGGCAGGTGTTAGGCCTAGTGTGGCAGGTGTTAGGCCTAGTGTGGCAGGTGTTAGGCCTAGTGTGGCAGGTGTTAGGCCTAGTGTGGCAGGTGTTAGCAGCCTGTGGCAGGTGTTATAGCCTAGTATGATGTGTCAGGCCGGGCAGTGTTAGCCGGTAGATGTTGTAGCGTGTAGCCGGTAGATAGTTATTGTGTCAGCCGGCAGATGTTATCAGCCGGTAGATGTTGTCAGCCGGTAGATGTTGTCAGCCGGTAGATGTTGTCAGCCGGCAGATGTTATCAGCCGGTAGATGTTGTTAGCTGGTAGATGTTGTGTCAGCCGGCAGATGTTATCAGCCGGTAGAAGTTATCAGCCGGTAGATGTTGTGTCAGCCGGTAGATGTTGTGTCAGCCGGCAGATATCAGCCGGTAGATGTTGTCAGCCGGTAGATGTTGTGTCAGCCGGTAGATGTGTCAGCCGGCAGATGTTGTGTCAGCCGGCAGATGTTATCAAGTAAGCCGGTAGATGTTGTCAGCCGGTAGATGTTGTGTTAGCCGGTAGATGTTGTCAGCCGGTAGATGTTGTCAGCCGGCAGATGTTATCAGCCGGTAGATGTCAGCCGGTAGATGTGTCAGCCGGTAGATGTGTCAGCCGGCAGATGTTATGTCAGCCGGCAGATGTTGTGTCAGCCGGCAGATGTTATCAGCCGGTAGATGTCAGCCGGCAGATGTTGTGTCAGCCGGCAGATGTTGTGTCAGCCGGCAGATGTTGTGTCAGCCGGCAGATGTTGTCAGCCGATAGATGTTGTGTCAGCCGGTAGATGTTGTCAGCCGGCAGATGTTGTGTCAGCCGGCAGATGTTAGATCTAGTGTGACATGTTTGGATAGGTTTATTGTGCCAGCCAGCAGATGTTAGGATAGGCCTAGTGTGGCAGATGTTAGGTCGAGTGTGGTAGCCAGATGTAATAGGCTTAGTGCAACAGACATTAGGATAGGCTTAGTACAGCAGACATTAGGATAGGCCTAGTACAGCAGACATTAGGATAGGCCTAGTACAGCAGACATTAGGATAGGCCTAGTACAGCAGACATTAGGATAGGCCTAGTGCAGCAGACATTAGGATAGGCCTAGTGCAGCAGACATTAGGATAGGCCTAGTGCAGCAGACATTAGGATAGGCCTAAAGTAGCCAGCAGACATTAGGATAGGCCTAGTGCAGCAGACATTAGGATAGGCCTAGTGCAGCAGACATTAGGATATGCCTAGTGCAGCAGACATTAGGATAGGCCTAGTACAACAGTTGACAATAAATGATTGTTGTAGACCTTGGTAAGATTTTGTTGTATTTTTAACATGGGAGTGTTAATCTCCCAGGATAACCCAGTAACAGTCCATCATAAGTAAGAAATACAGCAGCAGGCCTACTGGCCCATGCGAGGCAGGTCCAAGTCACCTCCCGGCTTAAACCACCTAGTCAGGTCAGGTCACATCTACTTAAGGAACACTGGCATCAGACCTATTACCACAAGCTAATCAGGTCCAACTCACACCCACCTACACCCACTCATGTATTTATCTAACCTATTTTTAAAACTACGCAACGTTTTAGCTTCTATAACTGTACTGGGGAGTTTGTTCCACTCATCCACAACTATATTACCAAACCAGTACTTTCCTATATCCTTCCTGAAGCTGAATTTTTAAAATTTAAAGCCTGGTCATGGACCTGAGGCCTGGTCATGGACCTGAGGCCTTTGGAATGCCCTCAGTGTAGAGACTCTAGATGGCCTGTTGCGCAGACATTAGTTGCTAGGCACGACATTTAGGATAGCCCTAGTACACAGTTAATATATTTGTAACTTGTAAATTTTTTTATTTAACATGATGTATAATCTCCGATACATAATCCCATAAGTGAATACGACAGTCTTCTATGGCAGCGAGCAGTCAGTCCTCCGTCTACCCATAGTCAGGTCAGGTCACTCTCTATACCTCATAGTATACAGAGTCAGGTCCACTCACCATCCTCATAGTACAAGTCAGCCTAGTTATCTCCAATAGTTACACGAGTTCTCAGGGCCCTTTTCCAGTCTTCCTTATGTCCTGAGCGGCATTTAATCTATACCTTCATAGACAGGCGTCATGGGCCTGAGTCTATCCTCACAGTAACATGAGTCCTGGGCCAGTTATTCACAGACGATTATGGCCCTTAGTTATCCTTTCATTGACATCCGATCATTCCCTCAGTCTATCCTCATAGTGAGAGAGTCAGGGCCTCAGTCTATCCTCATAGTGCAGAGTCAGGGCCTCAGTCTATCCTCATAGTGCAGAGTCAGGGCCTCAGTCTATCCTCATAGTGCAGAGTCAGGGCCTCAGTCTATCCTCATAGTGCAGAGTCAGGGCCTCAGTCTATCCTCATAGTGCAGAGTCAGGGCCTCAGTCTATCCTCATAGTGCAGAGTCAGGGCCTCAGTCTATCCTCATAGTACAGAGTCAGGGCCTCAGTCTATCCTCATAGTACAGAGTCAGGGCCTCAGTCTATCCTCATAGTACAGAGTCAGGGCCTCAGTCTATCCTCATAGTACAGAGTCAGGGCCTCAGTCTATCCTCATAGTGCAGAGTCAGGGCCTCAGTCTATCCTCATAGTGCAGAGTCAGGGCCTCAGTCTATCCTCATAGTGCAGAGTCAGGGCCTCAGTCTATCCTCATAGTGCAGAGTCAGGGCCTCAGTCTATCCTCATAGTGCAGAGTCAGGGCCTCAGTCTATCCTCATAGTGCAGAGTCAGGGCCTCAGTCTATCCTCATAGTGCAGAGTCAGGGCCTCAGTCTATCCTCATAGTGCAGAGTCAGGGCCTCAGTCTATCCTCATAGTGCAGAGTCAGGGCCTCAGTCTATCCTCATAGTGCAGAGTCAGGGCCTCAGTCTATCCTCATAGTGCAGAGTCAGGGCCTCAGTCTATCCTCATAGTGCAGAGTCAGGGCCTCAGTCTATCCTCATAGTGCAGAGTCAGGGCCTCAGTCTATCCTCATAGTGCAGAGTCAGGGCCTCAGTCTATCCTCATAGTGCAGAGTCAGGGCCTCAGTCTATCCTCATAGTGCAGAGTCAGGGCCTCAGTCTATCCTCATAGTGCAGAGTCAGGGCCTCAGTCTATCCTCATAGTGCAGAGTCAGGGCCTCAGTCTATCCTCATAGTGCAGAGTCAGGGCCTCAGTCTATCCTCATAGTGCAGAGTCAGGGCCTCAGTCTATCCTCATAGTGCAGAGTCAGGGCCTCAGTCTATCCTCATAGTGCAGAGTCAGGGCCTCAGTCTATCCTCATAGTGC